CCATCGCCATTAGGTTGGAGGCCATCGCTATTAGGTTGGAGGCCATTGCTATTAGGTTGGAGGCCATCGCCATTAGGTTGGAGGCCATCGCTACTCAGCTCCGCATAGCTTCACTTTGGCTCCATCTTCTGACCTCCTCAGGGGAAGTCGTTTGCTTAGCTGGCACCATCGCCGCTGCTGGGCCGAGCTGTTTGAGACGTCTCGGTCAGAGCTGTTTCGGGGTGCCCCAGTTATGGCCGTTTTAGATGGCCAGTCCGAGTGTGGTAGTCTAAAATATATTCGGAGAAAGTCCTAGGAAGGTCGTATGTGGTTTTTGACCTTGAAACTTTCAAGTCGAGACTTGAGCTACTCTCAGCTACTTTGGTGTGTTTGAGCTACTGTGCAAGGGTTGCAGGTCCATCAATCACTTTCTTTTTTTTTGTGGAAACTGGAGAGGCACCAAATCATGGCCATTCCGCGATTTCTGACTGGGAACCCTCTGATTTCTGACAGCAAAATGCTAAGCAACATGCGTCTCTCAGGAACTGACCGCTCCCCTTCCGATGCAGCCGAATCAAACGGGCGATCGGAGACTATGGCATCTCACGGTGCAGATCAATGCAGCCAGCATAGTGTCTCGGACGGAGCACGGGAGATCCCTAGACCGCCGGTGGTCTCGCAACCTCTGGGGCGGTCCGGTGCGTTCCGTGTGGTTTGTCTCGCTGCATCGCTTCGGCAGCCATTTTTGAGGGAGGGGAGACACCAAACCAGTCAGGTGTTTCTTTTGTCTTGAACGGATGTGTTCCAGCTGCCGCTGGGTCGCTGCCGTTCACGCAGGGGTGACGGTCCGACGGGAGCCAAGACGCCGCAGAAAGGGAGGGGTGTCAAGCGCCGAGATGAGTGGACCCGGGGAAGTCTTAGTAAGCGAGGACACGACGAGCAACGGGGCTCCCTGGCCTTAGTCACGGAGCCCGAACGGGACGCGACGAGTATGGGGCTGGCATCGCTACGAACGGAACAAAGCTGTGCTGGAGTAGGGAGGATAGCAGTGCTAACTGAGTCTAAGCTGGAGGTAAGCTCCGGACTGAGAGAGCTGATGAGGTGGGCTTGAAAGGGTGAATGTTCACCATCCGCAGATGAACTGCCAACTGAGATGGTCTCATCTTCTTTTCATTTGGGAGATGTTGGAGATGATGATGGGGGGGAGATCCATTGGAGGTTGCATACAGCTCAAAACATTCAAAGCCCCCTCATCTTCCCAGAGACCTCTCCCTTCTGAAACACCTCCTCTGTCGGGTCGGGGGTGTCCCCGCCGGGACCTCGGCGTCGTTCTTTTCGGTTAATCCGGATTCCGGATGGTCCTAAAACAGATCTGTTTCTGCCTTGAAAAGGCTTCAGGACTGATGCTTGACCACTTTGAAAGTTGGTTTGGACGCTCAATGAAATCCACGGACGCTGTTCTTCTCTCCGCCCCTGACCGATTCCGAACCTTTTCTTGGCAGAACGTTGGGCTCCCCAGCCAATGGGCTTTGGGCTCTCCCCACGTCAGGTGCCGCCGCCGGCGCAACAGGCGCCCGCCGCCATGATCGGCTTGATGATGGCCGGCTCAGGAGAGGGAAGGGTGACTGGGAGCCACCAGTTCTCTCACTTTATTTTGGAAGAATTAATCCAAAGACGAAGAGAGAGAGAGAGAGAGAGAGAGAGAGAGAGAGAAAAATAAGAAGGTCCCTTTGTTGATCTTTTGCTTTCTCCCCTCTTGGCTCCCTTCTGAAGCACTAGCTTGAAGCCTGAGAGAGTTTCGTCGTTCCATGTCACATGCAACATCCGCCTTCTCCATCGACTCGCCATTCACCTTGGCCGCAGTCCTTGGCAGCAGCCGGGGCACTGCAGCCGCGCCAACCTTTGAATATAGTTCGAAGCCAAGGGGTTGGGAGGAGCGAGGGCCAGAGTGGTCAGTGGTCGGCAGATCTGAGGGCCAGAAAGAAGCCTTGTCGAACTCTTCCCTGTTTTCGCTCCAAAAAGAAGTGTTCATGTCGGACTCAATTGGTTCAGAATTGATACAGAACAGGATTTTCAGGAACCAGGCAGACGGTAAACCATAGTGTTCACCAGCCTTGTCACCGCCAGAGCACCACAACGGCACCGTCCCTTCATCCCTTCCTTCGACCCTGTCGCGGTGACCGGCGTCGTTCGACACCGTGGTTCGTGGCATTCGAGGTTACACCGTGCAGAATAGTGCCGGAGCGACCGTGCGTAGTGAAGAAGGCACTCGCAGCGGGGAGACAGGCGGGAGTGGTGCCGAAGGAAGGAGACAGTCGGAGGGTTGGCCGAAGGAACCAGGTGTGCTGTGTGCTGCTGTGTGCACGACTGGTTCAGGAGTGGTGTGTGTTGTGAGTCGTGAGTTGTCCATAAGGTGGAAAAGAGAGAAAGAGAAGAAGCACGGAGAGATCAATGAACAAACCATGATAAACCCGGAACGAGGGACGTGTACTTGGATCTACGAGCTAACCCAGCTAACCCCCCTCATAGAAATCATAGAACTACATCGAACAGGAAGGACACATGGGTTCTTTTGCTGTCCAAATGTAGCTGGCTGACATCCTCAGATTTGTGCGTGGCAAGAAACGAGGGACGCTTTCAGTGCTTCAGTTCCGTTTTCGTTCTAGTTCTCGCAGACTCTCGCTTCTCATCGCTTTCTCGCTGCCTCCTCGACCGTTTCGACTCGTCGTCGAGACGTGAGAACGGACCCGACAGGTGAGCTGAAGCAGCTCTACTACCACAAAGTCCGGCACCCGATCCTTCGAGAGAGACGAGAGGGCCTTTAGTAACCACCTATATGATATGTTTGTTTATATTTGTTTTCTTTAGTTCTTTTCTTACTGTTCTTTTCTTTTAAAGTCTATTTTCTAAACATATCTTCGACTTGCTTAACTTGCTTACCTTGCCTGCGTCTTGAGGCGAACTTCGGTGGGCATGAGAGTCTCCAAGATGAAGGCTTCAAGCTCTTCATCCATGTGGCTTGGCGACGGAACCGAGATCTTCTTCGGTCCATTCGAGCAGATCACAACACAACTGTTACACTAATAGTGATCCCAATAGATAGTGGCACGGTTTCCAAGACATTCCTCTTTTCTACCTATTTGGGGGTCGAGAAATACATGAAGAAGCGCTTTCGGGACCAAGAACGACGCGCTGACTGGAGACCTGCGGAAACGCTGTGAACGGCGGACACCCGACCGACCGGCGGGAACGGCGAGACCGGAGACCACGTGGGTCCTCACCCAAGAAGGGCAACGTTCCTGGCAATGTTCGAAGAGCCGGGGAACGTTGGACATCAGGCCAATCACGCGCCGTTTTCTGCGCCGCTTGGTGGCCGAGCCTCCCAGGGCCTCGCATTGGTTCGCATTGGTTTCATGTGGGGTCGGACATGTTGTTCGACCGAAACCAATTGGTTCACGAAGAAACCTCCACCAGCAGTCACAAAGGGGTGCTTAATGGAGGAAGTCGGGGTGCCCATTATCCACTCACTTGGGGACTAAACACCACCCCGTACTTGTGACTCCTGGCAAGCAGGGTTGAGTAAGATCCGATTTTTCGGCTCCAGGACGAGATCTTTCAGCTCCAGTCCGGCCAGATTTCCGCGAGGCCAGGTGAGAATACGTGTTCGGTGTGAGAAAAATGGGTCGAGTCGAGTTCGGGTGCATGAGTCAGACGCTAGATGAAGATTTTGATATATAGATCAAGATAGTATACATACAACTTATTCTATAATTTGTATAGTGATTTTAGACGTAGCTGATGATATTTTGCAGTGGCCCTTGTTCACACGACGATCGACCCATCAGGGACTTCCATCGGCACATGGTGGCCTTAGCAGCTTCGAACTTTAACAAGAAACGCTCCTTGTTAGACAAGGCCCTGGAGGAGCACTGGGACGGAGGCCGCGTTTTGTTGTTTTCGAGATGCGTCCATTGGACGCAGTAGAGACGAGCCTTTCTGGTTTTATTTTCTTTTTAAATCCAAGGCTTTTTGATTGCTGAACCCTTGCAGTGGCAGCGAATCCGGTTCAAGTCAGTGAGGGTCAGTGATGCCCTTGTTACAAGTAAGTCGTGATGCCCATGTCTACCAAGCTAGTAGCGATGCCCGGAGCTACTCAACGCGATGCCCTTTGTTACTAGTAGCTTAGCCCTATTAGAAGTCCAGAGACTATATTTTTACCGAATAAAGTAAAGGACATTCCTTTTCGGGTCACCTGAAGACCATTCTTTTTATGGTCTTTGACTCCCAGGGTTAGGTTTTCCTTTCTTCCGCTTGGATGCTTCTCACGACGGGTACAGTTCGCTGCTTGGGGACCCGCTCCGAGCGCAGCGGAGCGCAGGAGCTCATTGCCCACTGGGGCATGGATACTCCAGCGCCCGCACAGGCGGCTTGTTCCGCAAAACAGGGAAGAAAACGGGATGTCCGCAACAGACACAAGTGTTGTGGCTCTAAGTTCTTTCAGAATCTCTTGAAGGAATTTAGACCGTCGGAGCTTTTCGGTTCTTTTTTTGCTTTGCGGTGAAACAGAAGCGGGGAGACCCAACTGGAACCAGAAGCCGCAGAAAGTGGAGAGTGAAACTGCAACTTCTTCATTTCTTGAACAGAAGAAGATCATGAGGATTTCTTGCAGAGAGCCTTCGCAAGGTCGTTTTGGCGGCAGCTGCAGCCCTGGGGACCATGAAAAGGCACACATTGCCAGGTGCTAGAGAGTCCGGGGGAGAAATTTCCTGACTTGCTGCAAGAGACATTCAGCCAAGAAGTGGAAAAGAGGCAGAACAGGAGGCAGAACAGGAGGCAGCTCTTGCAAGTGATCCCTTCTAACTTGGCGTTTTAGCCGGCGGGCCGTCGTTTGAGACGTTAGGCTGGTCGTTCGTCACTTGAGTCGGTGAGCTCGAGAGCTTGCGAGGTGTCACCATGTATGGTTTCGACACCTTCGACAATGACTATGCCTTCAGCTCCGCCATGGGCAGCAAAGAGAAGGAGAAGGAGAAGGAGGTCCGGACCCCGGGGGGGGGAGGCCTGGTGGTCGCTCGCCTCGAGCGGTGGTGGGATCCAGGGGCACCCCACACGAAGACGCACAGCCCTGCTGCCCTGCACTGCTAAGCTGCCAGCGTGGTGCGAAGACACTGAGCAGCTTAAACGTCGGCCAACAAAACCGCAGGAGCCTCCATCTCTGACCGTGTGCAGATGGATCGTGTGCCTTGGTAGTACCGATGTGTTTCATGTGTGGACCTCGGTGGACCTCGGATGGAGTTCGGAATGGACATTGTTGGAAGATCAAACTCTTGTGATCTTAGGAAGCACTGCCCTTCTCGAGCAGATGTGGAGGACAAGACTTCATGGTGTACAAGCTCAGCAAACCCGAATTCCTCAATAGCTTCCCTGGAGCAGCTGAACGCAGGTATCAGTGTAGATTGATCTCAGATTCCAGATTCTCCCCACACAGCGGCTAGCCAGAGTGTTTGCGAAAGAAGATCCCAAAGAGGATGAAAACTCGTTTCAAGATTTTCAGATGCTGTGTTTGGCTTTCAGCAAGCTGATACAGCTTCCTTTTCTGGAGAACTTCCCTTTTGTTTCTCCGCGCGGGGGGGGGCCACCACCGCTCGAGCTCGGGTCACTTCAGGAGGAGCAGCGCGGTGAGCGCGAGCGCGGCCGCGAGTCGCGGTCCATGGCCACCACCGCGGGCGTTCGCTTGGCGGCGGAGACGCTCTATAAGGAGGCGGCGGGCATCGTCTCGGGGGGACGAAGTGCATGCCTAGTTGCAAGAAGCAATTAGGTTGGAGGCCATTTCTACTAGCAAGAAGCTATGACCATAGCAAAGTACTGCATCGCTATCTACTCTATAAGGAGGCTCGTCGCGTTCTTCGCGGTGCCGCGCGCGGTCCTGCTGGTGAGTGTGGTGAAGAATCAGATGGCCCAACTGCATCCTTTCATCAACTGTGGAGAAACCAAGAACTATCCTTCAGCGAAGATCACTGCACCGCGGGGGAAGCGTCTACTTTGTCACAACATTTCATCAGCTGTGAAGAGCCAGTGTGTCACCACCTGTGCTAGGTTTTCACTAGTCAGTAGTCAGTGGCACTTCTGTCAGTAGTCAGTAGTCAGCAGTCAGCAGTCACTAGTACAGCTGCCAGCTGTGAAAGCTCCCCGGAAACACTCACACCGGAAACGTACCACTCACCTGCTGTGAATCAGAACTTCTTCGCTTCGATGAGAAGAGCCCATGACATGTAGACGAGAGAGAAGAGCCCATCGTGTCAGATGGGGGGGTGCGTGGCGTGCCTGGAAAAAACATCACGCCATCTCACTGCTCGCCCACTTCACCATATTTCACCCACCAGCTCCATTGGTACATTTTTTCTTGGCAGCGGTGAACATGCACTACTACTACTACTACTACTACTACTACTACTACTTCTACTTCTACTTCTACTTCTACTTCTACTTCTACTTCTACTTCTACTACTTCTACTTCTACTTCTTCTTCTTCTTCTTCTTGGAGCGGGGATTTTCACTCCACTGCAATAGCCTTCGGATCCTTCGGAATATGCTACTCCACCACTGGCAAGCTTCGAAAAAAGACGACCAGTACAAACACCAACGGAACCTCTGTGACATGTCAGACTCGCATGACTTGACATCCACATGTCCAGACTTGCTGGACCTAACGAAACCGGTCAGACCGGAAGACCGGTCAGACCGGTCAGACCGGTGACCCGCTGTGTGCTTCGTGACCCGGACTGGTCCTCTCATCCACGAGCAATGTGTCATCCACGGAAACGATCTGGTTTGAAGAGTGGAACAAAAGAATCCGTAAAACCATCGACTCTGTCCCCGTTGATATTAGACGTTTTCACAGCTGTTGATTCAAGAATGAGGGTGGTTCGATGAAGCTTCGCACCTTTGAGCCGGTGGGCGTCCTCGGCTTGGGGTGAACGTGTCTCTTGAATCACTTCACATCCGTCCGAGCCGCCAGGAACAGACCTTTGACTGGTTGAAGCTGCTCGACCGTGATTTCTCGCCGGGCGATGAGGAATTGGACGGTGAGAGGTCTTGGACGTGATCAACGGGGGGGGAGAACGGGCACTTGCCTTCCCTCGTTTTGGGGGGGAGAACGTGCCTCGCGTTGTTTCTCTCCTCTTCTTTCTTTCAGAACCTCTTTGGCCCTCGAATCCCGGACGCTTTCTTCGTGCTCCGCACCGAGCGTCGCCCTCGACGGCCTGGATGGGGGCCGAACGCGTCGGCGGTCGAGGCTGTTGAACTTCTTGCCGGAGCATTCGTTGCCACAGCCTGTGAACGCTTCCCAGTGTAGCAAAGAGGAGGCGCGAAGGCATGAGATCTTGTTCCTCCCCCAGACCTCTGCTCTCTCTCTCTCTCTCCCTTTCTTTTTGGAAGCGGTGCGAAAGGCATGGGATCTGGTCTGTGGAAAGGCCAATCCTGCAGATTTTGACTCTCTCGACATGATACAAAGATATCCCCTGATTGACCTCTGTTTTGGACCAACCACCCCATATTTTGGGGTCTTTTCCGACCTTGCCTGACAGGCGAGACGGCTCACAGACTCCTTCCTGCGTTCCATGGGCTACGTCCGGCGCTAAGACCGAGACCGAGACCGAACCGAACGTCGCCCGAGCGAGCGAGCGAGCTTCGGCCCGCCCCGAAGCGGGGCCCCTGGCAGCGCGAAACCGGCCGCTCCTTCTGCTTTCTGCCAGGTCTTTGAGGACTTTCAAAGGTCAAAGGACCAGCTCCTTGGGAAGCAGTTGCAGGTCGCGGCGTGGGACGGGACCGCGGCGTGGACGGGATCGTCCCGCTTCTCCCTTCGAGTCAAACGAGATCTTTGGCGTTGGAGGTCAACTCAGATCTTTATACTCTTTCCTTTGATCCAGTTCCATCATTCTTTGCTCCTTTTGTGACGACGGAACCGGAAGGAACCGGGACGCGCGTAACGCCCGGGATGGACCGTTTTCACCGCAGGTCCCGAGTCACGGTGTCACGGTTTGCGGCTCGTGGGTCGCCCTCAGGTTCGAACTGAATCCTCCAGGCGATGCCAAGGAACGGCAGAAGGCCGAGCAGGTGACCGCGAGGGCGAAACCGGTGTCTGTGGGTGGCGCGCGTCTTGGGGTGTCTGGCATGGGAGGAGATGGCAGTCCTGCCACGAACTCTTGGGACGTCCAACAAACTCGAAGACGTCCAACCACCCGTTGGGGTCGCTTACTCTCGCCTCTTCCCAACCTGTTTCCTTTCGCCCACCGGGTGGCGCGCGTCTGGGGTTCTAGTGCCAAAAACCCGCATTTCTTTGGTTTCCGCGTTCTTTTTTTTTCAGGAGATGCAAGGCCGAATGGAGCTCTTCCTGCGCGGGCTGTGCAGTTTTTGCCCCTCCGTGGAGTGCATGAAGACGCTGGTGATCGAGCTTAGGACGGGGAAACGAAACGAAACGGTTCAGAAACGCAGGTGCAGAAGGACTTAGGTTGGAGACCATCGCTAGTAGGTTGGAGACCATCGCTCTTGGGTTCCTATTGCTAGTAGGTGTGCAGAAGGACTGTGGACATTTGGATGACTCGTTTGGACGCTTTGCATCAAGACGAGAAGCGCCATATATTTGTCGCCGCTGTGGTTGCATTTCGCTACCCAGACCCACATATCATCCAGAGTCGAGGACCATTCGAATACCATTGAGGACATGAAGTCAGTCCACTTCAGAAAATCCGATTGCTTCAAAAAGAGTCACCAAGGCTCTCGTCTCCCCCCCCCGTCCGTCCGTCCGTCCGTCTCTCGCAACCTCGGCGACCATCGCCCACGCCCTCTCCTTCGTCCGGCAAGGAGAGCCTGGGAGCCCCTCGTAGAGGTGATGATCCCAATGATCTTCAGTCGTTTTCGCAGCATCCACTTTGGCAAGGACCGGACCATACCGGACCAACCGGGGCGGCCACGGTGTCCGAAGAGACTTATCCTACAAAAAGACGGCACCTGTTCTCGTCTTCGTTGTTCGCGGCCCGTTCGTTGTCTCATGCCTCCAAGGTGTTTCGCGGCCCGTGTTCCTTCCGTTCGATTCTTCTTTTTGTTCCGCGATGTACGAAGTTGTTCACGAAAAAGGCGCCGGGCAAATGTGGGTTGCCGGACAATACGCGTCCAGTTTCTTTTGGGTGTCATGGCAGACAGGGCAGCAAAAGTCCACCTGTCTTGGTCGAGATCACTCAGAGACCATCCCAGTCCGCCGCCAGGAAGATAAAAGCAGTTTGGTCGAGATGATCAAGGACATCCCATTCATGTGGCCTAGCAGAATACCTTGACACTTAACATCAATGCACTTAACACCAATGACTGAAATACTGGAGCTGGTCACACCAAAAAAACCCACGGTTCAAGCAAGCCAGCCGACCGGAACGCTTTTACTGAAAGACTCTGGACGAACCGACGTCCTCCTCAAGCCGCTCTGCGCGACCACCCCCGGTTCGAAACAACCGAGCTGGGTCCAAGTTCTGTCTCGGAGCCTGGGGAAAACATCGAGCGCTTCGCCGGGTATCGCCCCGTTGAGGCATTGTGATGAGACCGCCATCGCACTGCTTCAGAATCAGAACCACCCGAACGAAGCCTTTCGAGAGAAAGCTGCCTGGCAGCACATTGGAACGTTTCTTGGCCACACCAGCGGTGTGGCACTTTGTGCTGCTCTTCAGCTTGGACAGTGGATTTTTTTTGGTGGGGATCTGTGGGAAAGATCAAAGACTTCTGATCCGCACCAATTGGTACTTCAGGAATGCCCAGTTTTTGAGCATGTTTGGACTGAGGAGATCGTGGAATTCATTCAGCGTGTGACCCAAAGCCCCGGGGGAGCCTCGGTGCCAAACCGGCCCGGCCGTCGAACGCCGAGCCGAGCCGCGGCGTGGCGTGGGGACGGCCGGTTGGAGAGGAAGCGCCACGGCAGGTGGGACTGGATTCAACATGATTCAACTCCATTCCCCCTCGTAGGTGTGGGTAGTTGTCGTTTTGGGGTGATGTTAAACCTGAGGAAATGTTCGATTTTAAGTATGCATTCCTTTTGTTTCCTCCCTGGCAACTTCACCGGCTTTGGACGAAGTTCCGGAACTGGAACAACGCTCCAGTCAGTGCTTCCGCCCCACGGAGTCGGAGTTCCGGGTGACCGGACCGACCTCCCCGACCGAAGGCAAGGTATGTTCACCGTCACCCCTTCGTTCTGCTATGACTGGTAGACCGGGGCACCTTCCTGGGAGAGAAACCGAACCGAACCAACGGATGAGCTCCGTGCACCCGACCCGACCCGAACCGCGGTGTTGGCCCCTCTCGCTCCATCACCAGCGCCGACCCCCGACCCCACCGGGACCCGGGACTTCCGGAGCGCCGACGGAGGTGTCAGACCGGCCGGTCCACAGCTGCAGAACGCCGCCCGCCGCTGGCTGGTGCGTGCCACGGCGGAGCGCCACCGGGAGCTGCGGGGGGGTGGAGACCGGGGAAAGGCCGATGACCCTCGGTGACGGCGTTTTTGGGTGGTTTTGGGGTTGTGAACGTGTTCGCTTCGGAGCGAAGATGGAGGATCTTCCAAAACACCATTTGTGTTTTTTTGGAACCAGGAAGAGTTTACCGTGGGTTTTTTCCTGGCCCAATGGCTTTTTTCTGGGCCTCTTTTCCTCTCCAAAAGACCAGGATCTTTGGAAGGTCTCTCCCCCCCATCCATGTTGGATCCATCCATCCCTCTGCCTTCACAGGGACCGACGGCTCCGACCTGCCCCGGAGAATGCCGTGGACCGAGGCTACTATGGCCGCCCAGTGGATCGGCCCATGGAGCGGAAGGACCGAGCCCTGGGGCGGTGGACGAGGGTTGGCAGGGGTTGAGCACGAGCCCCTGCTGTTGAAAAGGACCCTGTTGCCTGTAGTATACGGCCAGGAGCGGTTCGCGTCCGAACGTTCCGTTCGAGGCGCGGTGCCCTGGCCTGCGCCGTTCGCGGCGAACATTGCAACACTGAACATTTGATTCCTGTGTCTTCAGATGTTTTGCAGGAGGACAAGATGGCCGTGAGTGAGATGTCTCGTAGCGACTATCAGGCGGGAGGTATTTCTTTCTCAAATCCGAAGCGGCGGCTTCAGAGTCGAACGACTGACCTGCTTGGCTTCTTCAGCAGTTCTTCACCTGAACCAGGTGATGAAGAAGGACATTCGAGAAGCCATGAGGAATGCGATCAGCGGCTGGCAACTCATCTTGGATCTCCCCTGTTTCAAGGCGGAGGAGGCCCGAGCGCATGAAAAGGATCAATGGCGCTCCGCACTCCGTTGGCCCGTCAAGGGCTCAAGTCTCCTCTCCAAGATTTATGTTAGGGCCATCGCTAGTGGGGTGGAGGCCACCTCTTCCTTGTTTTTCACGGTTTGCATCCGCTAGCCGCTAGAGATGTGAGCTTCCGCCGAAGCGTGGTACGTCTGAGTGAGGGGTTTGCGCAGGAGACGGTTCGAAACTTGCTCTTTGAGATGTCGCAATCCTACTTCTTCAAGGATCAGGACCCCCTGTGCCTTGGACGAGTGTGCTGAGTGAAAAAGCTCAAGCTCGACACATCCTCAAATTGTCACGAAAGGTAGCTTGAGCTACCTGAGTTCTCCTTGCTTTAGCAAAAATGTATTACAATCAGGAGTTGGGATTGTGCATTGAATTTGGTCCTGTAAGAGTTGATTCTGTTCGTCGGCCCCCCCCCCTGGATCAAATCCCCCCTGCGCCGGTTCACGCCGTCGTGGACTTCTACCAGGGTTACTTGTGATTGCCTGCTACCTTTCGTTCACCCCCTCCTCTCTCAAGTTGAAGAAGGGGACATGTCCCATGTGGTGGAAGTGGGCGGAAGATGGCTGACATCTCAGCGCGCGGCCACCGCGGCTGGTGTTCTTTTTTGGTTGGCCGCGGTGCGGTCTCGGTTTTTGAGTGAGGTTAGTACTGGACTGCATCCTGGATCTGGAGAAGGAAGCGCAGAACATGAAGGTCTGGCAACTAGAGGCCTTCTGCCGCGGAACCGACCGTGATTCCAGTGTTTCGTTTCTTGCTTTTCAACGCATGCGACGGGTCATGTGGCTTGGCAGAAGAGGGAAATAAGGGACATCTCAGGACTCAATGGACTGTTTTACTTTATGACCCATATGTCATATGAACCTCCTTTTTTCTCCGCGTTGTCTCAAAACGCCGAATTGGCGCTCGCTTGGACATCCGCAGGTGGAAATCCAACGAATCGCCATCAAGAGCGTTCGTGATGCTCAAGACGCCTCGGCCACTTGAAGCAGTTTTACATACCAGCTTGTCAAGCATGTGATATTACACATGCCAAGCAAGTATTTGAGAATTCAACATCATATTACCTGTCATATGCAACATTTTTGGTTATTTGATTGATTCTGCAGCCACAAATGACCTGGGTGATAGATGATACCTGGCAGCCTGGGTGGTCTCTCCTCTCAGTGGTGCCCAACTCTAAGGAGACGGAGCATGATGCTAACCTGCTGCAGCTGCTTTTCGACCAACCAACCAGGTGGACGGACTTGTGCTGTGATGGGCACTTTTTTGGGTCGCGCAAATTGGGTTGCAATTTGATTCAGATTTGTTGTTCTAAGTTAATCCAAGACCTTTCAGGAAGATCAGCGATCTTGAAGCATTTGACCCCCGCTGGTGTAGGTAGATCGGTGACGCCCGTCAGATGGCATTGTTGGTCAATTGGGCGTCTGCCGGCCGCTGTAGCGGCTTTGTGTGGCCACATGTGAAGGCTTCGATACATTATCATCGAAGCCTTTATCTCGTTCCGCCAAGCGGCTGCAGGCGCTTGTGGCCCTCTGAGGGGGGGCTGCATGTCTTGGGATACATGGTGACATTTTTAGGTTGAAGGCCATATCTATTAGTTTTCTTATTCTACAGCTGCTCTGAACAGATCGTAGAGTGTAATGGCACGTTTTTCCATGAACTGCACGATGTCGTTTTGATCCGAGCAACACCGCGCAACACCGCGTCGATGCACTGCCTTCAGATCTTGCGCGGCTCCTGCAGAATGAACCGATTTGGGCACGGCTGCTGGACCGAAAGTGGCTGAATGCCTCAGGCCCGGTTCCGCGGTCCGGATGACCGAGCGAGCGAGGGTTCGCCGCGGTCCATGGTGAGCGAGCGAGAAACGAAACGCGCGCGGGGTCGCGAGGCCTCAATGAGTTCCAGCTCTACCACACGCAGCAGAGCGGCATGCGCATGCTGAAGGATTCCGCAGCACATTTGGACAAGGGTACCATCAACTTGTGCCTTGGAATGCGGGCATAGCTTGGAGTGCCGACATACGGATTCGCACCAGTACTGTTGCAGTGTTGATCGGGCTGCGGAACAGAACTTCGTATTTCAATCTTTTCGAAGCTCAAGATTCTGAACATCCAATTCTGGCAGGTGAATCCAGGTCATTCTGGCAGGATTCGCACGTGAAAAAATCGGATTCGGAGTGTCCTTTTTCGTCACCTCGCCATGCGACGCCCACCGCCCACCGCGACGCGACGGCCGCTCCAAGAGACCAGAAGCACCTTAACGGCCGCGGAGCCGAGGAGTGCCTTGCACACCATCATCCGACATCGCAAGGTCTATGAATCGCTGGTGGCCCAGGCGCTCGGCCGCACGGCGCGGACGTGAAACGTGCAACGGCGGTGCGGCGATGCCGAAGAGGGGTCGCTCTCGCGAAGCGAAAGCGACGGAAGCGAGCGAGTCATGGGACCCGAAGATGTGTCGCCCTGGACACGCGACACGACCCCTCTCTTTGAATGGTGGTCGTCACCAGTCACCAGTTACTCCGAGGATAGTTCTGGCTCTGTCAGTGATAAGCCGACTTTTGGGAGCCAACGGAAGAGTTTGAAGTTCGACTGTGGAGCAGGAGTAAGCTCAACTCGTGCCAGGAGTTGCTATATGATCCATATATGCCCTAGAAGTCCAGTTCGACTATGCTTTGACCAACTGAAGTGAAGGAAGTTTCTTTTCGGGTCACCGTTCGTCAGACCATTCTTTTCATAGTCTTTGACTCCCAGGCTAATCATGATGTTATTCAACGCCATTTCACTACCCTCCCCGGACAGCGCGACCCCCGGACGGTCTCCGAACCGGACAGTGGGCACGAACGGACCCGGCCGAACGGGACCGGTGAGGTGGCCACGAAGCCCACGGCGATTCCCGATAGCCCCTTGGACGCCCGCAGGGGACGCAGGACGGAGCCTATTCGCAACGCGAGAGGTGTGGCCACGGAATTCCCGGTGAAGATCGCTGAGCAGCGTTCTTTTTTTAGAAAAGAAAGGAAGGGACCGAAGGGAACCGAAGGGAACCGAAGGGAAAGGGTTCAAGGCGGTCCGCGGCCATTGGTGAGTCGGTGAGGTCACCAGAAACTGAGCCAATTCGACACCGAGTTTGAGCACTTGAGGGCCTATGTGAAGATGTGACTTGGAAATAACAGAAACAGATTTGCAGACGGAAGCAGCTGGGAAATGGATCTTCACTCCCAGAAAGCAACGCCAGAAGAGGTATATCGAAGCTTTGAGAGAGGAGATGATGACAGCAACCAATGTCTTTTAGATGTGGTAACCATATGAGTCAAGTCATTCCACCTGTACCCCGAAGTCTTAGGGCCAACAACGCAAAACCTCTTCGCCCAGGTTCTGCTCCAGTGCCTCCATCGAGGCCGCCGAGCTGCAAAAGCTCATCGACGGGCGCCTCGGATGCCGCGCCGCGTGGGGCGGGGAGGGAGTGCCGCGGGGGTCGAACCGCCTCGAGTCTCTTTTTGGGGGGTGCCTTGGCTGGGGCAAAAGGGAGTTTGCATGAGTTTGCTTTTATTTGGTAGAACTTTCTGTGACTAGATCTCGATCTAGTCCACCAAATCTTCAAGCGATCACTTGGGTGGTGTCTTCAAGCGATCTAGTTCACCTCTTTGTGCGGGTGATCTGCATATATGCAGCAATTTGATTCAAGGGTGTGATTTTTCAGTTACTTAAGACCACGAAGCTCACATCTGGAGCTGCTCGACTTGCAAGTTGCGCGCACACTCACCACCTCGAGGATTTTGGAGTCCTACAACGTCTTAGAGCTCAACATTGCCGCGAGCAAGTTCACCGGCCTGCAGGTGAGGCCCCACTTGCACCTTGCCTTGACAGCGACGTGGGTGTCGCCGCGCGGCGGTCTCCTCGTTATTTTATTTGGTGTTTTTTGCGAACGGCTCACATGGTAGACACATGGGTTTGCGGACCTTGGCGAAACCCCGGTTGGAGTGATGAAGAGACTCTTCCGGGGGGGGGTAGCTCGCCCATTGGCGCCCAGAACCTGTGGCTCCCCTTCTTCCCCGGCACCGGGTGCACGCGGCACGGCACCGGTGAACCCAGGTCTTGGTTGAACTCGCTGAAGGGCAGCGATGTCTTCTCGGGCATTTGGAAGCAGACGGCGCGCCCGGAGGGCGACAGCTCGGAGCAGATCATCAACCAGGAGGAGGCGGAAGAAGCGGAGCCCGGGCTGCGCAGTCCCGGCGCAGTCCCGCGTGAAGCGGATGTTCGATGTGTATCCGCGGGCAGCGTGGGAAGGCGTCCAGTCTTGAACTAATTCGGATCGGTGTCGCCGCGGGTGTCGCCCTCGTTCGCGCCTCTGCTCTGCGCCTCTTGACCGCTGCGCCAGTGCCCACAGGTGGTGACCGGCATCATCCCACAAGCGAAGAAGACCTGGGAGGACGGTACGGAGGGACGGAGTGCCTCGGTGCGCTGCGACGTGATTTCCGCCGCCGGTGAGGACCAAAGAAGAGCTTCGGTTTCACCGAAGGTGGTAGCCTACCTGAGTGACCATGAGTGGCCAGTCCAAAGTCCCGAAGGTTACCCTAGCCTTCAAAGACCATTAAAAGAACGGTTGAGCTGGTGGTGTAGTGTAAAAATCCTTAGTAAAACAATGGTTCTTTGGTAAAGACCATTAAAACAATGGTTGTTTGAATCCTAGGGTTAGTTTTGTTCTCCTCTCAAAGGCCCGAGGTCATATATGGGTTCTAGCTACACAGACCATGGGTGAGGACACGTGCGTCCACCAGCTGGGGAGAGGGTGCGGGAGACCGGTGGACGCGGTGATGATGGTCCATCAGAGGTCTTTCAAGACCTCATTTTGGGATGGGCATGGATGTGAAATGCATTGGCAGTCATCAGCGGGTAAGAGCATTCACCCTTGCAGCTGCTGTTTTCGGGGTGTTTTTGGGCCATGGCCTGTTTGGTCGGCTGGCTCTGCACCTGGAGGTTGGCTGGGCCCACCTCTCAAGAGAGTGTCGCCAGGATCTTTCCAAGAGCATTGAGACAGGGCAGGCCATCCTGAAGGACCGCAACTGCCTCGGTCCGTCCGCGCGGAACGCGCGGAAGGAAGCGGAAGAAAGAAACCGTGCACGCGGTTGGTGGGGCGAGGTCGGTCGGTCTGCTGCGGGGAGGATGGGGAGGACATTGGAGTCACAAGAGGTATACCATTTGGACCATCCTGGACCACAAACCAGCAAACATGATCCTTTTTCCTATCAAAATGGAGGTCTTCCGGACTTCCAGGATGCTAGTACCTGCAAGGGAAGGGTCTCCTATAGTCACCTCCATGGGTGACCGGGTGCGGAACTTCCGAGCGCTGTGCCGAGAAGCGGATCCGCTTGGATGCCGAGAAGCAATTGGGTGTTCCGAGAGGCATCTGTAAAACAAGCGGAGCCTGCAATCGATCTACAAAATGGAAGAAAAGGCGAGGTGAAGTGTTGCCTGAGCAGGCACGACTTGAAGTGCAAGCACAACGAGAAAAAGGAGGGGCTTGGAGACAGGATCGCAGAGCTCCTTATTGGCTGAAGGCAGCTCCAGTCGCAACAGTGCCTTTGCTCAGTTGCCCTGGCCACCTCTGTCCCGAACATGGGTGAATTTCTCATCGACGAGAAGAACGACCAAAACGGGTGAACGTGGCGTCCCCTCCGATAGGAATTGAGTTCTTATGGTTGTTCTGCGCCGAGACGGGCAAACGGGCAGACGGGAGAACGAGGAGAGCCAATCGGAGTTGGACCCTGCCAGGCCAGCGCCCTCTCTCTGTCTCTCTCTCTCTCTCACTATATACTTGGGAGTTTTGTGTTGTTTCTTATATAATGATTCTGTATTTTTGTTGGGCGACAGGCACCCTCCGCGGTGGGTGTGTTTCAGGATTTTGCAGACAGTGGTTTCACACAGTAGGACCATCCTATGTTGCGGGCAAGCGAATATTCGGCCCGTGGTTTGCTGAAGGGTTTGTTGTTACCATAGATGGCCTTGTCACTATTTGTTGGTTGATCAATAGAGCGGGTATCGGATACCCGGAGACGTGTAGAACCAATACCAGCACCCGACTGTACAGTACAGGTCACCAATTGAAACCTCTTAGGGCCTTTCCCAACCCTCCGTTTCGGAGACCTGTTGAGATCTGGCACCGCCGCCACGTTCTTCTTCCCCAAGTACGGACATCGCTGAGTTGTTACCGTTGGCTCTTGGGCTCGTGTGCTCGCTTCTAAGATGGATCCCCACCGTACCCGAACACCACGTCGTGCCTTGGGTTCGAGGAAGTTCGGAGTAACCGGCGGCCAGGATATCCGCTGGGTGGTGGAGTTCCAATGGAACAAGGTGAATTTGGAGCTCAAGCTTTTGGCACCTTGACAGCCTTTTCATCCTTGGCAGATGGCCTTGAGTGGTGTGGGTGACGTGGGTGGGTTTGTATTCACATGACAGCTGGGTGGTCTGGTTTTTCGAAAGATAGGATTCAGATTGAGACCCAGTCAGTCAAGTACTGGGTCAGCAGTTGCACGTACATGGCCACCCTCGCCGCCACAAGGTCATTACTACTATAGTAGCAAGAAGGTACTAGTAGCTCCGGGCCTTACTACTATACCAACAAGAACGCTACTGGTAACAAAGGGCATCGCTACGAATGGAGCAAGGACGTGGGGTGAGTTGCTTCGGCCGAGGAATCCACGGCGCCCAAGACCAAGCCTTGGGTGGCAGAGGCAGACAACCCGCGCGGTGGTGTTGAAACCAAGTGATATGTTGAATATGTTTCAAGAGCTGCCAAGAACTTGAATCGAAAGGCAGTCAACAAGAAATTGAGCGTCGTTGTGAAGCGTCCGATTCACTCATGTGCAGAATCCGTGCCAAAGCTTTTCCTTTCACACCAACAGGCTGTTGAGCTGTGCCGCTCGATGCGCCTGGCGGCAAAGCTCCGCGAATGGGCCCCAAGCATCCTGGCGTGAGGATACAAGCGACGAAGCCACAGCCTGGGGGATGCATTAAGGATCTAGGCTTTTATCAAAAACACCATAAGCTTTGTCAAAGCCGCGTCCTAGCCGAAGCCGTGGGCCCGAGGTATGCTTCACCTCCGGAACCATAGCTTGTCCGAACTCTTCAAAGAGACTCCCAAGGAGTCAGCTGACACGTCGGCCCGATCCGCCCGACAGGTCCCGACCGACCGGTCAAGCGGTTTGAGACTCAACACGGGTCAACGAAGTACGGCCGGAGGGTGCTGGTCAAGGGATCCGGATCCGCGACCGGGTCACCCATGGGGTGGCGGCACGGAAGCCGTGTGGTGGAACCGGGCAGGATGAATGTGTGGAGAAGCTGAACCAAGTGGTCTGCGAGTATGAGCACATGTGGACCAAGACCCTGGGCGAGATGACCGCAAGCCGGAGCTCCCAGACTGTGCGAGGACGAGTCGTGCCGAAGCCCCGTCCGATTCGAGGAGTTTCGGGGGCGGCCCAGGTGTGAATCCCTACCGGGAGACCATCAACACGCTCTCAGAGGCGATGCAGGACGGTCGATTTTGGGGTGTGCCACTCTGTTAACAACTGATGAAACAGTTCTATTCTCAAGCCTCTGTTATTTTGGCTCCATCCATTGACAAAAACGCCGCGCTCCCTTTTTCGACCCCATGTCCGAGCAAGCGCAAGCGCGCGCTTGAATTGGCGCGCCAGTGAACTGGCCCTGGCAGCTCGTTTGCAGGACTACACCATCACGGCCGCCAAGCATGACAAATCCTTGGAGTGGCTCTTGCAGCACAGCTCCACCGAGGACGGGAGACCGCGACGTCCGAGGTTACGGTTGGTTCATCGGTGGTGATCAGCCGATCTGCCTGGCTGGATCCTAGATGTGATGGGATCGGCTTCTTCTCCGGTCTTCGCCCGAATGAGGCCTCCTCATGTTGGGGTTTGAAGTTGACCGAGAAAAACCATAAAATTAACACATACTTTCTATTTGATTGGACTCGAAAGCGCAGCATGACTGGCCCATCTTTCCCAGGACTTCAATCGCCTCATCTCCCTCTGCACGCCCAATACAGATGATCCCATTATTCTGGCAGCGATCGCTTCTCTGTGCCTTGCAGCGGGTGGGGCGGTTTTGGGGCAGCCTTGATTGCTCTTGAGGCATTTTGGAGGTCGTATTGGACTCGATGACGGACAGATGCAAGTCATCTTCTATAAACATGACCGAAGCGAACTGAGGAAGCAGATGCGAACTTTCCTGGCAGAGGCGGGGTGGAAAAGGGGGGGATGTGGGGGGATTGAGGATGGGTGTTGCCATTCATCTCCATTGATCATGCAGTCCTGAGGTCCAATCCACCTGTCGGGGTCCCGTCACCGGACAACCCCCACGTCAAAGGACTGGTTTCGTTGCCTTCCTCGGTCGCAGTCGCAGTCGCAGCGACTGCGCGAAGCAACGTCACAGGTGCTGTTCACCAAGCCTCCCTACGCCGGGCTCAAGAAGTTCATTGAGGACCGCGTGTGATGAGGTTCCAAGGTGTGGAAGAGATGACACCAGCAGAATTTCGACACCTTTCCATCTCCGATGGAGGCCGCAAGAATAGCTTGGAGGCCATCGCCTAGCTTGTATGGCATCGTTTTCAGAACCCGAACGTTCGACCTATCCGGTAGCCCTGGTTTTCCGGGTCCTTACGGATCCGTCCTCCCAACCTGCCTTCCAACCTGCACGACACGTGGAACGTCCGGTCCGTCCCCAGGAACTCTCGCGCCTCCACGTGGATGCGGCGGAGCGCCTCCGTTGCGGGGCGGGCGGGCGATGAGGGCGGGACGATGGTTTTTGGGGGGTTGGAGGCTCTTGTAATCGTATTATAATCGTATTAATTGTTTCATTTTTGATTCTTGTCATCGAATGGATGAATGGATGAGATCGTTAGTTTCATATTCTCTTGGATTCTCTTGGTTTTCGGGTGAAAAAACCCCTCCCCCGCTTTTGAGAAGGGACCGAGTCCTTCTCGTACTCGAGGTTCCGACGTGACGGGTGTGCGTCGAACACGTGGCCGCAAATGCGCTTGGTGCTCAATTGGTCTTCACCCAGGAAAAAGGGCAATTCGGCGATTAGAGGTTTGATAGCTCCTTGAGCTCCTTCGGCGATGTTTTCCCGTTACTCTTTTCATTTGACGAAGCATCACTGAGGCAGCAATGCTTGGAATCGGTGCAGACCAGCTTCGATCCCATGTTGGACCTCCTGACAACGCACTCTCGAACGCCTGGTGTCCAGGTGCGTGAATTGTGAGCGTGTTGTGAGCTCTCCCAATGAGTTTCTTATTGGATGCTTGAAATAGTGATATGGCTCTGGGTCAGCCCCAAACCAGGTGGACCTCCCGGTCGGTCGTCTGTTCTGTTCATTTTTGCTGGGAAAAACCAAGGTTCCCCCAATTTGGACCCACCACCATATGCATTGATACGTTTTCATCAAGCTTGGATTTCTGAGCTCTTGACTCACTCACTCTCTTCGAAGCCGAACAACTCACTTCTCCGAAGAAAAAGACCAACAACTCCAACATCCCGGATCCGGACGCGTTCTTCGCTCAGGTGGCCCCCTTCCCTTCGCGCCGAAGCTCCTGACCGCTCCTGACGGAGCGTCGGTCCAGGCGTGCTACGACCTGAAGAAGATCTCCCTGTCGGGCACCTTCCACGTGACCTGCGCGCTCACCGAGACGGCCCGGGGAGCCGAGCCAAGCGCAAGGAGCAGTGCTAGTAACAGGGGCAACTAGCTAGGACCAGTAGCTAGAATCTACCAGTAACAAGTGCTATAGATACCTTTAAGGGGTGGTGACGCGAGTGATTCGCCTGAGAAGATGGTGGAATGGTGTTTGCTGGGTCATGGAAAGAGAAGTTCAAGCCTACACTGCGTACACCTTCAAGATTCCAGATTGGGGTATGGATATGGGGACATGCGCTCACTTTCACACCTGCCGCACATGTCTGCTCCGACTCCGGAATTTCATGCAGCCGGAGACATTTTTGGGATCAGCTGAACGGGCTCTTCCTGTCCCATCCGATGGATAGATCTGCTGATGTCTCCCCCAAATGTAAAGAATTAGATATGGAATTAGTATCATCAATATATGTTATATAATAGTGAACATCTCTGAGAGGAAGACCCTTTTGAACCAAGGCCCAGCTGAAATGCCGCATGCCGCCGGATAGCGAATTTGACTATGAGGTGCCAGAGCGTTTGGAACTTTTCGATTGGGAGACAGGGTGGTTGAAGAAAAGTCGAAGATGAGGAATGAACGAAAGAAGAGTTTCATTCTGAAGAAAGGAGGCCATCGAGCACTCTTCTTGGCATTCTTTGTACAGCCTTGCTGTTCTGGGCCAATGCTGGCGAGCTTTTTGGAGGACCATCTTTGACATACCAAAAAGAAGTCCTCGGGTGAACCTCAAACACAAGCCGGGAAACAACCCGAAAGAAGACAATAGATTTGGAGGGGGCCATACTATATCCGGCGAGACAAGAGTGATATCCACCCATGCCCATGTTGACACTCACTTGATCAGTAAACGCTCCAGATCATGGAGATATAGAACCCTCCTGGTAGGGAGTCAACATGAAGTCTTTGATCCCCTCTTAAGATGAGCATGTCTAGATGACTTTACGATCCCCTTCGTTGCATCCTTCTCCTTTGATACACCGTGACAGACCGTGGCGTGGCTTGCCGGCACCAGCCGCCGTCGCTTCGCGTCTTCTCGCTGCCGAAGGGCCCTTTCGAGTTCAACGATCTTTAAGACATCTTTAAAGTGATCGGTTTCCAATACATCGAGTTTTTCCCCAAACAGTTTACTGTTAGGGGTTCTCAATGCTTTAAAGAATGGTCCCCTTCGTGCTGGATGGTCTGGTCGGGTTCCCGGCCGGCTTGTCTCCCACTTCCTTTCATTTGTCTCCCAGTTCTTTTCATTTGTCTCCCAGGCTGGGTGCTTGTGGTCGGGTTCCCGGCTGGCTTGTCTCCCGCTTCCTTTCATGTGTTTCCCACTTCTTTTCATTTGTCTCCCACGTCCTTTCATTTGTCTCCCACTTCTTTTCATTTGTCTCCCAGTTCTTTTCATTTGTCTCCCAGGCTGGGTGCTTGTGGATTTGTCTTCCACTTCTTTTCATTTGTCTCCCAAGCCGGGTGCTTGTGGTCGGGTTCCCGGCTGGCTTGTCTCCCACTTCCTGTCATTTGTTTCCCACTTCTTTTCATTTGCCTCCCACGTCCTTTCATTTGTCTCCCAGTTCTTTTCATTTGTCTCCCAGTTCTTTTCATTTGTCTCCCAGGCTGGGTGCTTGTGGTCGGGTTCCCGGCTGGCTTGTCTCCCGCTTCCTTTCATGTGTTTCCCACTTCTTTTCATTTGTCTCCCACGTCCTTTCATTTGTCTCCCACTTCTTTTCATTTGTCTCCCAGTTCTTTTCATTTGTCTCCCAGGCTGGGTCCCACTTCCTGCATTTGTCTCCCACTTCTTTTCACTTGTCTCCCAGGCTGGGTGGTTGTGGTCGGATTCCCAGCTGGCTTGTCTCCCACTTCCTTTCATTTGCCTCCCACTTCTTTTCATTTGTCTCCCAGTTTTTTCAATTGTCTCCCAGGCTGGGTGCTTGTAGTCGGGTTCCCGGCGGTCTCCCACTTCCTTTAGGCTGGGTGCTTGTGGTCGGGTTCCCGGCTGGCTTGTCTCCCACTTCCTTTTATTTGTTTCCCACTTCTTTTCATTTGTCTCCCAGGCTGGGTGCTTGTTTCCGGCCGGCTTGTCTCCCACTTCCTTGCATTTGTCTCCAACTTTTGCCCCAAACAGTTTACTGTTAGGGGTTCTCAATTCTTTCTTAAGATGTGTCACTGCTGGTGTCCGCCCATTTCCACTGGCCATGTAGCATTTCTAATTTATCATTTTTCTCCCAGGTCTACTGCTGGTGTCCGCCCTTTTCCGCTGGCCATGCAGCATGTCTATTCATTTGTTTCCCGGGTCTGTCACTGGTGCTGCCGCCCTTTTCCGCTGGCCATGTAGCATTTCTATTCATTTGTCTCCCATGTGATTTCTTTCTTTTTGTCTTTCAGGTTTGGTCCATGCACTGCTGTTTTCTGCCCTGTCCGCTGGAACAGGTTCACCTGTTGCGTGACTGTCTCCGGGATTGCATTCCTGCCACACTGTGTAACACTCAGCTTTGTTTTCCTTTTCGGGCAAGCGTTGGATGAATGACCGGATTGGATTTCGGCGGCGTGGCAGCCATCTCTCTGTTCAGTTGGGACGGGGGGCATACGTCAGGCACCAAAAATCAATTTCATGTCACATCCTTCGCTCCTCATGCTTTTGTTTCTTGTCCTCACGTGGTCAACTCCCCGCTGATTGAGCAGCATGACCAGCATCATGTTCGCACTTGAAGAATAATTCCCCAAAAGGTTTACTGTTAGGGCTTCTCAATTCTTTCTTAAGATGTGTCCGCCCGCTCTGTACTGCTGTGTCCGTCTCTGCCTTGCAATCCTTTACATTTGTCTCCCAGCTCTGGGCTGCTGCGGCCGCCTCTGCCTTGCAATCCTTTGTCTCCCACCTCTGGACGTCGCAAGCTCTAGTTTTGATTTTGAAAACACAAACTGTTTGGGGTCTACGGTGGTGTAATCCAATCTTTAAAGTGGCCACTATCTAAAGTGATCTTTAAGTCAACTAAGATAGTGGCACGGTTTCCAAAGCATGTTCTACGTTGGGATCTACGAACTTCTATCTATGACAGGGGGTCGTTCCATGTCTGACCCAGTCGTCAGGCGGACCTCCGAGTCAGACCTCGTTCTTCGGAGAAGGTCGGCCGTGGAACACCGGCCGCGACGACGGTTCTTCGGTCGCCAGGCGTTGGCCGAGTTGCGACGGCAGCTTCTCATGACGGATGTGCCTTACGTGTCTGGGCGGCCTGAGGTCTGGACCGGGGTTCCGTGCGGGTTCGCTGTGCCACGGATGGCCGGTGGGTGCCATCCGAGACATGTTCGGAGCTCCGTCCGGACGACTTCGCGGACGCAGTTGGTTTTCGCGTGACTGGAACGTGGCGGATTCGTCGGGAGATCGGCGTGACGTCGCGGTCGGGCAGATCACGGCACGGTTCCGCGTTCTGTCCGCTCCGGAGGAACGACGCGGGAAGCGGCCGCCGGCTACGAACGGAGCGATCGGACGGCGACCGAACGGAACAAACGGATTTCGCCGAAGCGTCCGGAGGAATCGTTCCTAGTAGCGAACATTGCTCCGTTCGTAAGGCTAGGAGCCCCAGATAGCGTCCGATCGCTCCTGATGAGGTTGATTGATGGCTTGAGGTTTATTTCTGAGGTTTATATTTCTGTGAGGCTTGCAGCTGTTGGTTCAGGCTCCAAGTTTGTTGGGGAGTCCCGCTGTGTATATCGGTCCTCGATCTAAACGATGGTGCTTGGACGTGTTGCTTGGCTTTCAGGCCTCGTGTTCGCCTGCGACGCATCCGTTTCGTTCCTGACCATTGGTGATTGGGGTGGCTACGACCTCGGTAGTGACCATCAGACCACAGTCACCACTGTGGCAGAGCAGATGGCTAAGACGGCGGAAGAGAACAAGGCTGCATTTGTGGTGAACACCGGTGACAATTTCTACTATTGTGGCATCACCAGCACTGCAGATAAGCAAGTGGCAGACGACTTCACCAATGTCTACAAGGCTCAATCCTTGTCGGTCCCATGGTATTCGGTCTTAGGGAACCATGAATACGGCTACAATGTGGAAGCACAGTGCGAGCTCTCGCAAAGTGTGCACAATTGGGTCATGGACAGCAGGTATTACTCCAGGCGCGTGGCTTTGAGTGGCCAAGTTCACATCTCCTTCATCTTCCTGGACACCTCTCCCTGTGTTTCGGCCTATCGTGGCGATGATGAATCCAAGTGGGATCCCTGCGGCTCCGACTTTCCCACCTGCGATCCCATCGATGAAGGACCCTGCAAATTCCATGAGAATATCCTCTCTCAGAACTGCAGCAGCCAATTCCAATGGTTCAAGCAACAAATTAGCCAGGTGCGATGGCACACTCTGCAACAAGCCTGGCAGCTTTGGTGTGTACTTCTTTTATTTTATTGTTTTGTGAAGAGAAACATGGATTGTAACTTTCAACCTTTAATGAGTCGGGTTAGGATGAAAAACGACGGGCATATCGCCGATACATTTTCTGCTCAGTCGCCGCGCGTCGCCGCGCGTTTGATTTATTCTTCCCTGGAGGTTCCCAAAAAGGACTGGCTCATCATTGTGGGTCACCATCCTGCTGATGAGATGGATGTGGAGGATTTTGTGTCCGTGATGGCCGAACATGGTTTCGATTTGTACCTGAATGGCCACACCCATCTCCTGAACCAGTACACCCTTGGTGGCAAAGGTGGGATCTTTTTCAGACGCGGCGTGTGATCGTGATGCAGCCGGTATTTGTACACATGCTTCAAAAAAAAGAGAAGAAGGGCACAATCCATGTGAAAGGAAACGAGCAAGTAGATGTTACGGGATCTTACTTGCTTCTTTTATTCCGCCGGTTTCTCCTTTTTTTTTTTTTTCGTGTTTCTATCTCTCTCTCTCTCTCTTTCTTTCTCTGAGTTACTTGGTTGTCCGGTGGTGTTGAACACCCAATTGGACACCCCGGTCGTGTCGTGGTTTCCTTTCCGACCCTACCCCGGTCGTCGACCGAGGTGCCTATGTCACCAGCGGTGCGGGGGCCATGGTGAAGACGCCCGACCAGTCGACCGAGGAGGAGCACCTCATCGGTGGAGACGTTCAGACGATCTGGGAGCAAAAGGTGGCAGGTGCGGAGCGCGGAGCGGTGCGCGGTTCGGAAGGGGGGGCGGCAGGCAGGCAGTGTGGGATGGGATGATGCAAGAGGATGAGGATGGGCTGTGATGTTTCCCATTTTTTGATGATTTTAGTCGCAATTGGAGATGACGGGGAATTAGCGAGCCGGAGTATGAGTCGTTCTTCTTTCTTTTGTGTTTGCTTCCATTTTCTCATCCTGTACGTCTTTCGCTGGTTGTTTTTATTTGCTACATCGACGGATGTGAGGCTTCACTCTCCACAAGTTCTCCAGTGACTTCCAAGAGCTCCAAACTCAATTTGTGGATTACAAGGGCCAGGTCCTTCATCAATTCTCGGTGAAGCGTGGAACAGCGCCCTCGCCTCCTCCACCCACCAAGGGTTCGTGCAAGACCTATGGGTGCGGGCGCTATGACCCCACGCACAGCTGTCAGTGCAACGACTACTGCAAAGCGCATGGGGATTGTTGCTCCGACTGGAGCACTACATGTGCAGGCCCAGGCGGCTCGTGTAAGGTCTACGGCTGCGGCAGGTTCAACTACAGCCACAGTTGTCAGTGCAACCAGTATTGCAAGGAACACTCGGATTGTTGCTCTGATTACGACTCCGTTTGCGGAGGCTTGACATATGTGTGAATCAGTTCAAATTGATTTACCAGCGTCGTTGTCCTTTTGTGTCTCATCGGAGTCAAACATATGAATCTTCTTCCAAAAAGGACAAAGACACATGACCTGGTTTGGCTCAACCGTTGGCGGCTGCGATTGGCAGTGCAGCTTTTGGGCCTTAAATTGTCTGACCTGCGGCCTCTAGGGCCTCGGAGCAGCCCCGCGAAAATGCCCGACTGGACGCCCTTAGACACGTACGGACGCGCAAACTCCACTGCGTGTGGTCACGCGCGGGTGGGAGGTTTTCTTTTGGGCCGAGGCAAGTTTGGAGGTCCCTTTTTGGGGAGACCTGCTTTTGGGAGACTTGGAGACCGCTTTGGGAACTTTCACATCTCAAATAAGCGCGCTCGATTCATCTCTTGAGAGGCTTTCAGATCTCTTTAGCTCTTTTCAGCTGCTTTTGATGGCAAAACAAACAGCTAAGGAGTTGGACGGAGCGAAAGATTTGCCAAAGATGCTGGATGTCTTGGTCGCGAAGCTTCAACTCCTGGAGGACACCTCCTCGGGTCGAGGCACATGGAAACGATCCGGCTCGGTGGCCGTCGTTCTTTATTTCTGGTTTTCTTTGTAAGTTCCTTTAGGTTTCTGGCACAGCCAAAGAGGTTTTTGTTGGTAAGTTCAATACTTTGGCAGATCTATCTATATACTGACTTACTTCATCCGGTGGGATGGTTCAGGATCAGACCCAAAAAGGACACCTGTGTTTCGACCGGTGTTTCGACCGGGAGACCGGTGCAGTCGAACGGTGCTCGTCCCGGTGAGGACTTTGGCCGCTGCACCATGGAGCTCTTCCGACTAGGCGATGTCGGTGTCGGGGGACAGGGGGAAGGAACGGAGCCAATGGGGCGGCGAAGGCGTCGTCGTCGATGGCTAAAGGCATCGTCGAGGGTTCGGTGTTCGGTGTGGTTTTCGTTGGTTGGGACCACGTGTGTCATGGGAAGCGATGATCGCCTGCAATTGGTTCTTCTCCACTTGCTGTGTCTAGCCGCTCTGTCACTTCTTCAGGGATCACCTCCCTAGTCCGTAGGGATCCAAGTACCTTCTCAGGTACGGTGATGTGTTCGACACTGTATACCCTGGGAGTCAAAGACTATCAAAAGAATGTTCTGACTAGGTGACCCGAGTCTAGGAATATGCTTTACTTCAGTTGGTCGAAAGCATCGTCGAACTGGACATCAGTTGGGTATACAATGGGCCAGACCGCTGCGAGGAGGCCTGTCCGCGGGAGCACGACAACGGACCGTCCTCGGATGCCGTCAGTCGTCCGCGGACCTGTCATCCAGGTCACTTTGCCTATCGCCTCAACGACGAGGTGCTCGTGGTTCCACCCGAGGAGCGCTCAGTTTCACGTCGGTCGGTCTTCTTGTCCAACGACGAACGGTGACGGCGAGGGGATGAGGATGAAGATGACTCCCTCGATGACGGCGAAGGAAGGAACTGAAAGGAACCGAAACCGTGCGAAATCGCTCGCGGCCATCGCGGCCATCGCGGCGTAGGGAAGAACAAATCATGGGCCATAGCCGCCAGAGCTGCTCTTTGGATATAAACGAAGGAATCTCCAAACAAAGAGAACCGACCATTGGTTCATTTTGCGCGCAGTGGAGGACACGGTGGAATCCGTGGCGAAGCGCTTGGAGGCGGGGAGATGAGATGGACGCTGCTAGTCACTGCTAGTCGGTTGTGCTTTGGTGATACTCTCAGTATGGATACTGGATAGTCGTTTAAATTCACACGCTTCAGCCCTTCCAGGAGGTTTAACATATAGTTATATAGTTCTCTCTGAAACTATATCAACCCCTTTTTGTATTGATACACAGTACGCACATGTATGTATACACACAAATCCCTTCTGTTTCCACCGTCGTTTGCACATGCCGGCCGTCGGTTCTTTGCGCTCCGATGGCGCTCCCAGGCACAACAGCAGCAATTGGAAGACTGGCAACAGGCGGTGAGCGATGCCCGGAGCAAGCATTACTTCCTGTGCCTCGGCGCCCGCGCGGTGCCGGTCGAGCGCCACGACGACGGGCGGAACCTGGAGCGGTCGAGCAGTGTTCTTTTTGAGTGTGAAGCGCCCGCGGTGGGGGCACGCGGTGGGTTTCTTCGCCATGCGTCGATCGGCTCCGGCTTTTCTTCTTATACTATAGTAGTAAGGCCAGGAGCGCTCCCAGCGTGCGTCCTTGCTCCTATAATAGTAGAAATGCCCTTTGTTCCACGTAGCTTCTTGTTACTAGAAAGACTGTTTCTCCGGCACCCTTGTCTCGGCCGTTCCCCGGATCGATCTCCGGTGCGAAATTGGGCCGAGGAACTACTACACGGTGCGCGAGCTCTGCTTCCTGACCGATCTCCTTCCCAACGTGGACAACGACGAGGCGCACACCAGCGATGGGTCCACCACGAGCGAACGGTCTGCGGGCGGTGGAAGCGGGCGATGGCGAACGGTGCCAACGTGCGTGGTCTTTTGGGAAGCTTCTCCATGCTGAAGTCCTGGTGTACTGAGAATTGGAGCAAGTGCTCAATATTGCATGTGCCATCATGTGCCTCATATGGCTGTCCACTTCAGCATGAGAAGCTGCTTAAAGATGGTCAAGTCGTTTCCCATCCATCCGAAAGTGAACTGGGTGCTGTGCTGAGCTTGTGTGCTGTGGCTGTGACGGCTGTGACCGCGTGCGGCCGCGTGGCGCGTGACGCATGCAGAGGAGTGGGGTAAAGTCTGGCCGCTGCTACAATGCGTGGACCTCTCTGCCGATGAGAACCGCACCAGGAAGAACATCCTCTCCCAGCTGAAAGGCAGAACGAGAATGAGAACGACCAACCGGTTTGGATGGTGTAAGTCGTGTTCGGGAAGTAGTGGTGAGCCAACGAAAGCACCGCGAAGAGACGAAAGAATCGATGTTTTTCTATTGAGATTTCATGTCCGCCATCATGAAGAAATAATATGAAATAATAACAGTTGAATTTCAAATGGAAAAAGGACGACACGTTTCAGGTCTTTCACATCCGTTTCTCTCCTCTTTGTTGTTTCCATCCATCCCGTTTCAGGCGATTTGGCTCTCCTGCGCACCTCCAGTGGAGAGCCCGACCGCGAGGTCCCTCCGGTGTCTACGCGTGGCGCGTCCACTGCAACGGCCCACTGCATTGGGCAGCCCCAGGTTTGGTGACCAGCCTCATACGTCACCAGAGTCTCACCGGACTCTGAGAGTTTTGGGGTAGCCAGCAGTAGCTGCCGGCAGAAACCAGTAGCAAAACACTTCGCACCTCTTCGGTGCCGCACACCCCACCCTTTCAATCCCACTCCGCCCGTCGGTCTCGTCGCCGAAACGGGTCGGTCGACACCGGTGACGGTTTGCCTTCCCCGCCGGCGGAGTGTCACTCGCACGCGCGGGTGTTCCGCGTTCCGCGAAAACCGGTTTCCACCCGCGGGAAACCGTTCCGCGAGGTGAAGCTCTTGAACGACGTGGGGACCTTGTTGGGAGATCTCTTTGAGAATTCGACGCCTCAGGTGCGACCACTGGAGGCGCCGGAGACGAACCGGAGAGACGAAGCGAACGCTTTTCAGCGGATGGAACCGTTCGCGGTGAGTCATGAGTCCGGTGGGAGACGAAAAGGTGGGGAGGGAGACGAAAAGGAAAAGAAACGGAGCCGTTTGGTTGTTTTTGTCATTGTTTGGTGGCTGGATGTTCATGTTATTTCATTTGCTATCATCTTTTTGAGCGCGTCGTTTTGGACGTTCACCCCAAATCCACGCCTCGCGGAAGTAAGTCAGCTGGCGTGTCCTCCTTGGTCCTTGGCGTGAACCTTACTCCCTCGCGATGCGTCTCGCCTCAAGGGGCTGATGGAAGTGAAGCAACAGCTGCAGGGCGACTTGTTGATCCGTTCGATGCAGAACAAGGACCGAGTGGTGACGCGAGGGGGACAGGGGGATAGGGGGCATCCGTGTCATCGACCTCAGGGTGAACGGAACGCTCGGCTTAAGGCATCGTGCAAGGCGAGGGTGACATGTCTGAGAGGTTACAAGATGAAGCCATGAGATCGTGTCGCCTTTTCTTTTTTGGTTGCCATGTTCTTTTCCATTTTTTTGAGGATTTAGAGGATTTTCTTTGTGAGATGATGATTGATTTCCAAGAAAGCCAGGGGAAATGGACAGAACCCCATTGTGGAAAAATTGCACTGCCGATGTCAGGAGCAGGGCATCCCGATCTTCGTGTGCTGTGCAGACGAAGCTTGCAAGGCCTGGCGGACAGATCGGGAAGGGTGAACACGGTCAACGCCCAGAAAGCAACGGATACACATCTAGCATCATCTAGCATCATCGAGCTAGTGTCACTCAACGACCCGAGCATTTTCTGCCGAATCTCAGATTGTCAGGTTCAACTCCTCAACCCTCAGACCTGGAGGGTGCACACCTCCTCCGAAAAAAAGAGCCTCCCCCGTTGGTTTCTTCTTATTGGTTCAGCCTACACGATTAAAATACATCCATAGAAGATAAACATTATAGGCTGACAGAACCCCATGACCAACAAATGAATGATCTTTGTTTTTGCTTTCTATATCTTTGTAATTAATATGATGAATCATCCATGAGGGACCAACCAACATCTATTTATTCTTTTGTGTCTTAGTCCTTTAATTTAATGTTGGTTGGTCATGGTCTTATTAATTTTATAGGATTGGTGGCCGCCGTGTCTGACTGGGCCCCTTCTTGGATCTGGGGCCCCCTGCTTTTGGCCCTTCCCTTGTGCCTCTTTAGTTCCTGTCACGTAGAAAGACTCGCGATGACCGAGATGAAGGGTGTAAGATAGAATGACGATAACCCACAAGGCCATAAGCTGTGACAAGGGGTGCAATGATAAGAGCTTATGGCCTGGTATCTTCTTGTTGGTACGGTTGCTCTTGTTATCCTAGAATGACTCACGAACAGACGGTCCATCACCTGGACTCCTCAGGCCCCCTTCTTGGATCTGGGGCCTATGAACCTAAGGACTGTTAACGCCTGGTCTTTTACCCAATCCCCGCCTCGCCCGCCTCGCCTCGCCCGCCGCCGCGAGTGGGCTCCCGATGCCCAAACGCCGCGAGTGGGCTCCGCCAGGTGACCGAGCTGGTCTTGTCCATCTACACGCGTCGTGAGCGGGTTCCGGAGGCGGAGGAGCTTCTCCTCTGCTCCAGCCACACCACCTTGGAGGAGAAGCAGTGCAGTTGGTGTGCCGATGGGTGTGGTTGGTGTGTGTTGGGTGTGTTTTCAAAGGTGCGGAACTCACTGGACGGAGCGTTTGGTGCTTTTGTCTCGGATTTAAGCCTGGTTCGTCAGTTTTTTTTTTCCAAGCTCCGATGGGAAGTCCTTCGACCTTTCTTCTCGTTAGGAGATCGAGCTGCTTCTACGCCGCTTCTTCCATGCGAGGACGCGCGCTTTGCGATATCAGGAAACTTTCGCAAAATCACAGGCTCACCTTGACTAGTGGAGGACGGACTCCATTTGACTAGGCCATGAGCGCCCCTAGTAGCGTCCTTGCTCCTAGTAGCGATGCCAGGAGCCCCTAGTAGCATTCTTGTTCCTAGACTAGTTGACAACTCTTTGAGGTTTGGCATGATCATTTAGGCTATCAGAAGGTGGTCTGGCCGCCTCCTTAGGTTTCCACTTGAGGTTGGGAAGCCAGTGCCTGGTGTGTCAGCGCTGGTGCGCTGCCGTTGACGGCGGCCGATGGGGCCCTTTTGATTTGTTGTGTCCCCTGAACATTTGCTGTTCGAAGGAAGCATCAGCGAGAAGACCGGTGTAGAGCTCAGTTGAAGCACTAGATTTTTTTTTGAACATATACTGCAGTATCATATACATATTTTATACGTACTTTTTGGAGGCAATCGCTAAACAGGGGTTGGAGGCCAAGTGGAGGCGGATGTCAGACACCCTCCACTCCACCTTCACTTTATGAGATCAGATGGCACCCGTCGATGAGTCGATGAGTTTTTCACCAGTTGAAGCTACGACATCAATCTGGTGAGAGTCGCCCGCCGTGAGCCTGCATCACAAGGCTCTACTGTGTTGGCAACGTGCACTTGCAACTCAGCTCATAGGGTGAGACTGGTGTCTCCATCCAAAGCACAACTTGCATCACCTGTGAGTGTCATCCACCAGACAAAACACCTGGCCGTTTCAGCAGAGAGCGAGCGGATCGCCTGGCCAAACAAGCTATGTTTGAACGCAGGCTTTTTCGGTTTATGTTTTCAGGGAAAACTCCGGGAAACAGCACATCCTTCTCAGAGCTCTTTTTTGGGGCCGCGTCGTTTTACTTCGTGCGCTGGCTTAAGCATCCTCATCCCGATTGTGGCCCAGGCTGCCCTACGTGACCCAATGTGGCACTGTGGAGGCCCTGAGGACAGCGGGGGACGCACGCGCGCGAACCCGGCAGGGAACGCTCAGTGGAACGACCGGGGCTACACCAACTGCTTCTAAGCTGTACACCATGGCACCAGGACCAGCAACTACGACGAACGGAGCTGGATGAGTTCCAAATGAAAAACACCTCCTCCAGCACCACAGAGGTGCGGGGTGCTTCTCGTAGGGAAAATACATCGTCCAGTCAAGGGTGTCCTCTTGAAACCGACCTCCGTGAAACCTGGAGGTCCTTCTTGCCGCCTCGGCGGTTTAGGTTCCGCCTCCACCCCCACCCTTCGTCATCAGTGGCAGCTGGAGATCCTCAACTTGAGATGTCAAGAGACCGAACCCAAAAACGCTGGCTTCGTGGACATCGCCACGTCTACTCGCGGTCCCTAGTGACTGCAATGCCTCTGCTGCACGGCCTCCTCATGCCGGGCAATGCATCAGCGATCGCCACGTGGGCCGAGCGGCAGCGTGCGCAGGAAGATGGAGGAGCAATTCGGCTTCGAGCACGCCAGTGCCCTGGTCTTCGCGAGCGGCATGCCCAACCAGATGCTGACCAACGCGCTCAATAGGCCGCACCCGCGGATGCGACGAAACGACGCAACGCCGGCCGAACGAGCGCGACGCGGTGACTGTTAGATCCTTCGGGTGTGGCTTCAAACAGCAAGGAGGAGCTTTAACGAGGAGGAGCGCTAAGGAAAAGAAAAGGATCAAGCAACAGAAGCTCTTTGGATGAGGAGAAGATATCGCAAGAACAGGATCAACAGAAACTCTTTGGGTGAGTCATGAGTTGGTGAACATGGACGATTTCATCTCGATTTTTGGAGGACATTTCTTGGACAGATAAATGCGCATATGTTTTTTAACATTAGCAGACATGCAGGTGGCAATGTTGTAGCTGATCGCAGGCACAATCTGGCAGTGAGCATTCTGCAGCAAGACCTCCTCAAAAACGCTGTGGCCATGGTGGGTTTTAAACTCAGAGCTGAAGCATGCAGCCCGAGGTCTTTTTTTGCTGGATTGCTGGACAGGGGGATCAACTGAAGGAAGGGTTCAGAACTTTGTCACATGACTGCCATCCCGGGGACGTTGCGAGGTTTGTGGCAACACACAAGCACCATTTGTTCAGAATTGGTCCAAACACCTTGGCAGAAGCGGTTGCAGCGGTTTCGGACATCGCTTGGCCTGCGGCGGTTCTGGCCTTTTCCGTCTGGACCCTGGCGGCGGCGGGTGGACGCTGTCGGGGACAGCCGAGGTCAGAAGTATCATGGCCGACAGATGGAGGCGGACACCGTCAGATGCAGCGCGGGGAGCGCTGCTGCTGTGAGCTGAAAAACGGTGTGAGCTGTCACCCAATCGCCTGCTGAGAGCTGTTTGTAGGGGCCTGGAGGTGATTTTGGTAGGTTTGTAGCAGCAGCAGCAGCCGGAACGGAGCAGCTGCAGCACGCGCCCGGTCGTCGCGGCTCGAAGGCGGTGGCTGCGCAGATGAACGGTGTGGGGAAGACGCATTACATCAAGCGGGAGATCCATCGGCTCCAGGCGGAGTGATTCGACCGGTCGGCAGATGTCGCCTGCCAGTCTGGGACTGATCCTTTTCTCAAATCCGAAAGGCGACTGGTGACTAGTAACAAGAAGCCTACGAACGTAGCTCCTGGCGAACTCCCAAGAACACCCTGGAAGACGATCCCATGGACCCTGAGTACACCACTGGTTGGTAGAGGAAAACACTCGGACGGAGGGGGCCCGACGGGGACATTGGACCCGTTCGTTGGAGTTGCTTCGTTCGTCCCAACGAGCTCCTCCTGTTCTCTGCATCGAGTCCGAGGCAGATCACAATGGCAAGCCCTTGCTGCACCACGTGGAGATCCGGCGCGGCAGTTCCTTCCGATGGGTCGGTCGCTATTTTCGGGTTCCGACGGTCGCTTCTTGTTACTAGTAAGGCCAGTTGCGCCCCGAGCTCGTAGCGTCCATCGCTCCGTTCGTAGTATGGCCAGGAGCCCCATTCGTAGCGTTCTTGTTACTAGTTTGTTTTTTTGCTTCGCATAAATAACATCAGGTTCTTAACAGAAGTTGTTGGGGCAGCCTTTGAAGCGATTGGACTCCATTGGTGTGCAAACATATTAGAGCCATTGGGAATCTGAAGAACTGAACTATATAGGGTCCTCTATTTGGCTGTTGGATGATCCTGTCCTCTCTCCTGTCCTCTGTCCTCTGTTTCAGGGAGACCACGGACATCTCGGCCCTGGTGTCGCCAGCTCAGCCCGAACGGCACGAGACTCGAGTCTCAAAGCCCACCCAAGACGTCGTTTGACGGATGAAAGCCACCTCAGACCAAGGGAAGCCACCTCAGTCACTCACCACTCCTCAGTCACTCCATCCGTCCACCCAAACCGAACAGCGACCGAACTCCTCCAGCTCCCCCGCAAAACCGAACGCTTCTGGGCCTGGGAGCGAGATGCGATGCATGCGAGCGAGGTCCAATTTGCTGAGCGATCCGACAGATACCGCGTATCCCACGGCCGTGCACATCGACCTGGCACATATCCTGCCATCGCATGTGGACACCCTGCTGTTCGAACTGCTGCACCTCGCGCGCAAAGCGAAAGGGTAGGGTTTGGGCGTTCCAAACGGCCCTTTGGGGTGTCCGATGGTTTGCTTTGGTGTTTCGCATTTCTTTTAGTTCCTGGCGCAAAAGTGAACTGGAACAGTCTTTATTGTGTTTTGCTGAAGGTTTGGTGATGGACATGGTACGGTAGTGCTGGTGAAGACACCGTGTCTTCCGTGAGCTTCCGCGTCTTCCGTGGAAAACCGCCGAGGATCGTGGGAATGCTTCGTGATACGCACCTTTGCAAAGTCTACCACCGAAGGGCCAAGAAAGATTTCTTCTTCATCGAGATTCCCAACACTCCAGGTCACTTGAACCCTGCAGACTTGCCTGCTTTCTATGTTGGAAGAGCTAGACCTTTTGGAGGAAGCACACCGAAATGCAATCCTTCCGTTTGCCTCCGCTTTTGGCTTCTGGGAATTGGGATTGAAGATGATCGAAGATTTTGATGGCTTTTGCATGAAGTTGACAGCTCGTGGACATTGCTGCTTTTCGTTTTACCGGTATCACTTTTGCCAGGGGAGAGCACCGCCAAGCAGCTCTCCTTCTGCCTGATTTTGCCACGACAGTTCTTGTGCCATGGCATGTAACAGATTCCGCCACCAAGCCTGGTTCGCGAATCCTCTCCACCACCAAACCGAATCCCACTCCTTCTCACCGAATCCGAAGCTTTTTCTGTTCCAAAAGAACCCACAGAACAGCAGGAAGTTCAAGTTAACAGCAGGCCGTTCAAGGTTTCAATACTCCGAATCCCCAACCTTTGAGAATAAGAACCGAAAAAAAGACAACAACAAACTATAGTAGCTTCTTGTGACGTTCGTAGCTTCTGGCCTCCAACTGACTTGCTTCTGGCCACCGAACCGGACTGGGCGTCTTCTATCTTCAGTATCGCCCAACGTCGTCCGATGACCGGCCAGGACCATGAGCGCCGACCGGCTGGACGAAGAGATGCCCGTGATCAAGGAGGTCGGTCGAACGGGGGTCGGACGACGGGTCCACGCGCTGCCGGCGCTTTGATCCGGGAGGGATGGGACGGAGGCAGATGGGAGATCCGGCACGGGGTGGGGAGGTCGAACGGAACGGGAGGGGTGGGAGATGGCAGATGGGAGATGGAATTGCCCAGAGGGGGATTTGTTTTGCACTGGGATTTTGATGGGGGGGGGTTTTCGGCGTTCAGGGTGTAAGTGTAAGTGACCCAAAAGGCTGGAGACTTTCAGCGAAAGAATGATCATAGATTTGTGAAACTGCTGGAAAGATTTTCCGAGGTGCAGTTTTGGGTAACCATGTGTTTCTTCGTTTTCCTCGCTTTTCGGGCGACCTGTCATGCGACCTGTCAGCCTGTCAGGTGGATGGTGCGCCATTGATTTCCTTCGTGAAGAACGATCTCTTGGAACTGGTTGGAAAGACCTTGGAAGCCATGAGGAAGGAAGCCTTCAACCCAAAGTCCAGGCACTGCACCGCAGCGGTTTGACGGGCTTTTAGGGGCTTTGAGGCTGGTGGGGTTGTGTGTGTTTCCTCCTCCGGTGCATGTTTGCTACGATCTGCGTGGCCGTCCGAACTCGTGGCTCCGCAGCCCGCAACCAGTCCTTCGGTGGGACGCCGCTTCTTCAGGACACGACGAGCATGTTCTGCGAGGAACCCTCGACGCTGCACCATCGGACGGGTGCACCATCGACTATCGACACACGACCAAAAGGACCTCAACGACCTCACCCCCCCCGACCTCGTTCCACCTACTCGTCACGCGCGGAGACTGCCCCATGCGACGAGGCACTTCGATGTGCAGTGGACCGGGGCCAAGGCAAAGCCCATTGATCTCATCCGAACCTACGAGCTCTTGGAAGAGGCGAACCGGGCGAGTGTGGGCGCACGAGCACCTGGCGCGAGGCGAAGCAGCGAACCGCGCGGTAGCACCGGGCGGCTTCCAAGCCCAGCCAAAAATCGAAAGGTTGACGATTTGTTGACGTATAACATGTATAACTGGTTATACATGTAGCAGTCTCACAACTTCTAAAAAAACACATGAAACAACCCGAAAGAAAAAAGAAAACCTACCACATGGTGTTTGGATCCTCGGTTCAAAGCCACCGCGTGTCCTTTTTGGTTCACCGAGACGTCGCCAGGTGTGTAGCTCCGAGACCTCGCCGCCCTCGTTCCTAGCGCCTCGGACGGAAAGAGCCGCGTGACACGACCGTTCGGCACCGACCGGACACGAAGAAGGAAGGTCGTTAAAAGATGGGTCCTTTCACAGGACAAGAGTCGCGTGACACTGACAGGATTGGGATGTCCTTGAAAAAGGACGAAATCAAGGACTCAAAAGGACCGAAGACAGGCGATTTCACGGAAGAACTTCTGGAACGGACCTGGGTCCCCCAAACCTGTGGAACAGTGTGCGTTCGTTTGGCGCAGCACGCGGCGGTGGGGGTTTCACCGCGAATTGGCCGGCACGTGGGGGCTGAAAGTCTTCAGGTCTTCATGAACTTGGTGAAGTTCTTGGGCCATCTCATCAAGAGTGCCGAGGACACGTGTTTCGTCGTTGCGGTGCGAGCGAGCACCATTTCCCAGCCCGAAACCGCGCTGGTTGCGGCCGCCTAATTTGCATTTTGGTCGGTGGTGCGGAGTGGGTTTGAGGGTGTTGGACTTCAGATTCAATGATCTCAAGACATTCTCAGATTGCCTGCCCATGTCGACCCTTCTTGAGGAGTGGAATATGATGAACCTGGCACTGCTGCAAAACTTTGATCCAGGTGCCCCAACTTTGACTTACAACCGGTCTCCCGGTCGTGTGGAGTGAGATGAAAGAGTTCCGCGCAGGAAAAAACACGACACTCTACATGCGGATCGGTTCAGATTCATATGAATCGACTGCTCAGCAGTTGGGACTCGGACTCTGGGACCCCAGAAACTTGCCCGGGCAGGCCTGACTAAAGCTGCATGACTCATAAGATCTCATAAGTCAGAGGCAGCACATCGAAAGTGACCTCACACCACATCCACCCAGGATTTTGAGAACCACATGAACCCTCCTGCTCCTGTGCATTGCTCCCTTTCCCGCCCCTGTGCAATGCGCCTTTGTGCGTCACTGCCTGCGGCTGATTACGTCCTGCCTGCGGCGGTGTGAGGTCTGAAGCATTTCAAGCACTGCTTCTTCCGCTTGCTCATCGAAACTTCCCGAGACTTTGCCCTGCGACAAGTCCCCAAGGCGGGGCGGGGCTGGAACGCGGGGCTGCCTCACGACGGGTTCCGTTCACCGAGCACCACGGAAGATCCACCAGGTGGTTGGTTTCGGGCTGGGAAAGCGCGCAGGAAACGCCTGATGCGCTGACTGCAGTCTTCTTTAAAGGAAATCCTTTTTGGAACCTTTAAACCCTCTCCTTGGCCCTCGAGCTGGTCTTCAAAAAGCCCAAGCCAAAACCTCCCAAAACTCCTCCCCCCCCGCCATTGGATCGCTTCCGCCGCCCTTTCCCGCTCCCCTTCCGCCCTTCCTCCGGTGCGACCGGGTACGGAGCGACAGACCCCCCCCATCACGGCCCTCCGCACGAGCGAACCACGTGGCCGCCGCGGAGGCCATGGACATGACGACGCCCTCGATCCTGGCGCCGCCGCCCATGGCGCCGGGCCTGGGGCGCGGCACCAGCCGAGGCGGGAGCGGCGGTCGGAGCGGGCGAGAGCCGGCTCTTCGGGGTGGTTTTTATCGGTGGTTCCACTGGGGTGGAACAGGATGGAACAGGCGACCGGTGGTGGGTGGTGGAAGTGTTTTGCTAGGCATCGACTGGGAGGGGGTGAGAAACCGCGTGGCATGGAAGGGCATGGAAGGGGAGCGAAGGTGTCTTTTTGGGGACGAAAGTCACGGCTATTTTATGGACCTGAAGTATATGAAGATCCATTTCCGGGAATTTCGGCTCAACATTGCCGAAGTGTTGTGATTGAATCGCTCAAGTACGAGTCTATATATGATCCCTAATCTTCAAAGGCTAAGTTTAACTTCGACGTGGTTTCTGTCTATGTTTAACCAGGTTAAACTTCGTCGTTCTGCGGAGTCTGTTCTGTTTAAGACAACTAACATGAGTAAAACTTAGACGCACTGAGGTGTACAAGTTTAACTTCGACGTTTCTCATTGGCTAAGTTAAACTTCGACGTTGGAAGTTCTGGGTGATAGTTTGTTGCTTAAGAACAGCGACTGAACGTCAACACATTTGAAGTCTTGAGGTTTTGACCATTGGTCGAAGTCATTGATGTGACAGGATCAAACCCCAAACCTACGCGTTTTTTCATGGAGCATTATTTAACGCTTTATTGAGGATTCAAGCCACAGCCATGATAAGCCATGATCAGATGTAATCTATGCAATGAGAGATCATGCTCATGCAAGTCTATTCTCATTGTCAAGTCTTGACAATGACATCTTCACAAAGCCAGGTCATGTCATTGCTATCACATTTCTTGACATGACCTGGCTTTCAATCGGCTCCGATACGTGTTTTCTTTTTCGGCGTCCCAAGGACCAAGACATCGACCCACACACCAGAAAAAAGGACCAGCTTCCTTTGGGCCCTCACCCACCCACCACCGGCCTCCGGTGTCGCGGGTCGCGCGCGTCGCGTCCGGTCCAGGCTCCGATCCGACGATGCCTCCGGAGCTCCTGCGGAACCTGAGCGGCATGAGCGGCGGGGCGCCCTCCTTGACCCGCCGGGGAGCCAAGCGAGCGCGACGCGAGCGGAGAGAGCGAAGAGAGCGAAGAGTGGGGGAGGCGCGACGCGGCGAAGCCGCTGGTGATGTGAAGAGGGATGAGGTGGGCAGGTGGATGGATGAGGGAAAAGCTTGACAGATGCAGCACTGCACCATCATGGGCTATGAATTCTCCCAAAAGCCAACTGGATTTTGCGCCAATTTGCGTGGTGAAACTGAAATTGAGACAGAAACATCAGCATGGGATTCTGCGCAGCCCAAACTGTTCACATTTATGTTGGATCCCGAAAGCAACCTTGAGTTATTATTCGGGGCTCCTGGCATCGCTACTAGGACCAAGGACGCTACTAGGGGCTCCTGGCCTTACTACTAGGAACAAGGACGCTACTAGGGCTCCTGGCCTTACTACTAGGAACAAGGACGCTATTATATCAGTGGCTTTTTGGTAAACCCAATTGACTCAGGGGCGGCGGCGCCACTCCCACAAGCCTGAACTATCGCGCGTGAGGCAAGACCAGTGGCCAGAACAAGCATCCTGGCCTGGTCCGGGCCAGCAGCCGGGCGCAGCAGGAACTTGCTGCACAGAATGAGGCACGTTGGCTTCTCTCCAGATGTCCAGAGCCGTTTTGGTGGTGGCGTCGTGGGCCAAAGGCTTTGTTAATTGAAAAGTATCGATATAACATGGTTCAACATGTTATTAAGCAATCTAGATGATTTGGCATGGTTCTAGTATGTTTTCAGTACCGCTTTCCACTTGTCAGTGATGAGCAATTCCCCGTGAGACGACGTGCGAGTCGACACTTCCCCTCTGCGAGCCTTTCGCCTCTTTTTCAGGCCGATGCTAAAATGGAGAAGGAAGGCGTTGGCAGGACTGGGACTTGATCCGAAGCCCGTCTCACCAGATGAAGCCCATCTCATGCGGTGATCAAAGTTCAACAGAAGCCCCCCTACCCTGCTCCTCCTCCTCCTCCAACTTCTCCGGCTGTCCAACCGAGAAAAACGAGAACATCTTCGGCCCTTTCCACCCTTCGGCCCCTTCGGCCAGGATCGATGCCTCGGCGTACGTGGCACGCTTCGATCAGATGCCCAGCTGGGAGAGCTGTATCCATCCCGTGGCCAACTTCAAGAAGAACGACCGAGGACTTGGCGAGATCCGGTTTCGCTCGCGGTTTTCGCTCGCGGAGGAGATCCGGTGGATCGCGGTTGAGCGATCCGGTGGTGGGGTGAATTGTTTGGGGGGGACGCGAAGGTGGTGAGCTAGGAGGTGGTTTTGGCGCGTGTTGATGTTTGTTGTTCTGGGAGCGAAATCTGCTTTCGTTTTGGATGCCTGAGTGGCTTGGCCGTTGGGGTTCTGGATATGTGGCCTTTTGATGCCTTTTGTCTTCCCGGTGATAGGGATGTTTTGCGTCCTGTTTTATTGCTGTATTTATTTTTAACACTCCGGTGCTTTTTTGAGATGTGGCCGTGGCCTTTTTTCAAAGGAAATGAAGTGAAGACATGAAAGGACTAAGGACGCGGCACATCAGGGTTTGTTCTTTGACTGTGTTGCTTTGTTCTGATTAAAACTAGAAGATCTTGGAGGCACAAGAGGAAGGTGTCCACCATGAATGTAATGAAGGAGTGATCGTAACATCTTGAAGAAGTCACCGGCGGCACTACGGTCTGCTTTTTCACGGCCGTCGGGAGTCTACTGGTCACCGGAAAACACGACGCGTAGAACATGTGGATGTGGATGTCCGTGCTGGGTGGAATGAGGAGCCATCATCGGATGCAACATCATGAGCTTGCAGCGAGACTTCATCGGAAACTTCATCGACAGGACGAAGCGACGTCACCGCACAAAGGATAGGGAGAATCATGCGCGCCATGTGGGGGGAAGTGAGGCACGTGTGGAACTGGGATGCCATTGCGCTTGGCCTTGCGCATGCCATACGCGCAGGAACCTGCAGAATTCGCTGAACTTGAACGATTTGAAGTTGGACAGGCCTGGGCAAAAACTCGGAATCGTGTGTGCCACACGTGTGTGCCACACCGTCTGTGCCGTGCAGCATTCGAACTTCTGGCAGAAACTGTTGTCAAGCTGTGTCAGAAAACATGTCGTCAACTCTGCAGACATATGATTTCTTCACAGATCGCTGGTCTCCGAACCATTCCGAACCATCTCCGAACCTCCTGCTTCACATCTCGTCTTCCGGACCTTTCCGCCCTATATGTGTTTGGGGCTCAAGCTGCCCGCCTGCATGAATTTGAGCGATCTTGGCATGCGCACAGTCCGTCCGAAGACGACGAAGATCAGTGATGCGCCATGGTGGCTGCCTCCTCCCCGCGCCCGTCCGAAATCTCCGCGCACAGCCACTGTGGCTCGGTCTTTCGGAGTGCAGTGGCCGAAACGCAAGGAGGAGCCCGGTGGGGAGGTGAAGACCGGAGGTGACAGGTCCTTAAAGAGGTCGAAGGAAACGACGGGTTGGGTTTTCAGGTGCAAGAGAAAGGGGTTCAAAGGTCACCAGAGGTCACCAGATGTCGCAAGGACCACACATTTCAACATCAATGACCACACGGAAAAGAGTGAAGACGTGCGAAAAAAAACAAAGAGTGCCGTGAAGAAAAACACCAACACGACCTGTGATGAACAAAAACAAAGCCGCCAAAAGAGCCGCCAGGACGTCCCAGCTATGAAGATGCCTATGCGATCACCTCGGAAGATCGTACCGTGTACTTTTGGGTCTTTGATGGACATCGGGGTGGCTGTGCCAGTCGCTTCGCCGCCGATCTCTTCAGTTCGCCGGAGTTCTCGCCCCCCCAGTGGACCAACGGCGCCCAAGCTCCCGTCCAACCGGCGCATTCGCAAGGCCTTCCAAACCGTGGACCAGCGGCTGCGGGAGCACTGCCGGTCTCGCGCCAAGTCGGACCGTGCCGGCAGCACGGCGGTGGGGGCGCTCGTGGTGCACGAGGACGACGGCAGCTTCTCGGCGAAGCTGGTGAATTGCGGTGACTCGCGGTGCGTGGTGATCCACGCGCCGGAGGAGATGCGTGAGGGACGTGGAGGGAAGAAGATCGAGGTGAAGTTGCCGGAGTCTTTGAAGTCCTTTCGTGAAGCCAGTGGTGAAGACTGGTCCAAGGATGCATCATGGCTTCCTGAATGGCCGGCAGTAGTGGAGACTATCGATCACAAGCCAAGCATGTGGTTTGAGCGAGCACGGATTGAAGCGGCTGGAGGGACAGTAGTGTGTGGGCGGACAGCACGGCTGGATGGCAACCTCGCTGTCAGTCGTAGTCTTGGTGACTTTGATTTCAAGAAGGAGAAGCGGCCGGCGGCGGAGCAGAAGGTCTCCTGCCTGCCGGACATCTATGAGGTGACAGGTTTGCAAGAAGGAAGTCTCCTGTTGCTTGCATGCGATGGTCTGTGGGACACCATGTCGACAGAGGAGGCGGCACAATTCGTACATGAGCGGCTCCAAAGTAATCCATCCATGGAGCTTGCTGACATTGCACAAGAGCTCATTGACTGCAGCCTGGTAGAAACACGGGACAATGTAACCGTGTTGCTGGCACAGCTGGGTCAACCTGACCTGAGTGAGGCCGAAGCGGAGTAGACCTACAGTCCTCTACAGCTGTCTCTTCACTTCGGCCTTACCCGGAAACTCAAGCAGGAGAAAGAAAATGGAAAAAAGGATGGGACCACTTCTGCAGAGAGCCGAATAGTTTTCAAAGTCATGCACTGTAGGAGTCACGTTTCCATGTGGTCCATGTTTGGAGCTTATCACCTCTCCACGTGGTCCATTTTTGGAGCTTAACAAAAAGAACCTGCATGTGTCTGACCTGTTTATATTGGACCTAGGAGTGTATGAACAGTGTTGCATATGCGTTTCCACATACCGATGATGTCACGAGTGGCACCAGACTGTGCCAGGGACTGGTCCAAAGTGACTCACCAAGATGCTGTGCAGCTGGTGCATCAGATTGAAGGTGGAGCACTCTTGCAGAAGAAGGACCAGAAAACAAAGCATTTGAACCATCAACAAGGGTGACATGAAAAAGATTATATGTATATATATAATATATTATATAATATAACATGTGTTTTTTGTATTTTTTTTTCCGAAGGAATCCGTTTCTTCATCGTTTTCAGCATTTTTTTGCGAGTGTTGGCCTGCGTGGACTGCTGAAAGACACACAAAGTGGTCTTGAAACAGAGGGCAGTTCAAGGCATTGAGACAAGGTCTTCTTAGTCTTTCTGCCTTGGCCAGGACTACTTGCAAGGTCCCAAAGAACCTTGGGTCTGCACTGAGAACTTGCAACCAACATCAGGGACATGTCGACAGTTTTGATGACAGACTGAGAACTTGCACTGATTTGAGATGCCAAGTTGACTGACTTGAGTAGTAGCTTCCTTGCTCCTAGTAGTAAGGCCAGAACCCCTAGTGCACTGACTTGCACTGACAGACTGAGAACAGACTGAGAACTTGCACTGATGTCCCTAAGAGATTCTCAAGACGACCCGCGCTAATGTCCCGTCAAAACCTCCCTCCAACGGCGATGCGTTCGTGGTAACCTCTCGCGCAGAAAGCGATGCTGGGGGACGAGTTGAGGATCATGGTCGAGACCTGAAGGTTTCGACGGTCAACTTGACCTTTTTCCATCTGCTGAATTCACATACAGAACAACACCTGAATTTTTGCCTACACACCGCACCAGACGGAATCTGTCCAAGGAATATGTGGTCACCGTGTCTTGGATGAAACCAGTTGGGTTGTTCTTACCCAAAGCAGTTGTGAAATCTGTTTGGACATGAAGGCTCCGTGCATGGGACGCCTCTATTAGAAAGATGGCTTAGGATGGCTTTTGTCAGGTCGACCAACAGCGTTTTACATGGCGTTTTTGCAGGTCGACAACCTCATCAAACTGATGAGCATTCAACAGCGCTTGAAGTATGGCCTGCCAGTGATCCTCATGGGTGAGACGGGCTGTGGTAAGACAGCCTTGGCCACTTGTACGGCTTAGAGGGTAGCAGCTTCATCGCAGACTTCCGCAAACCTATTTATTTCGCTAAAAATCGCTTTCAGAAATGAACACAAAATACTACTAAAGCTAAAGACCGTTTCGATGTTCACGAAAAATTGTTTGCGCATGCGCATGAATCCACCCGTGCCACAGACGGGTGGCTTTCTCTTCTTTGCTTCCTTTGGTCTTTGGTCCATCGAAAGGTGAAGTTCCTGGCGGAGACCTTGGATTTCAAGCTGTGCACGTTGGACATCCACGGTGGCATTACGGACGTCGCTTAGAGCTCGAGCGTGGAAGGGACCACGGGGGGGAACGGAGGGCCATGCGCGGTGCTGGATGCGTTGCGTCACCGATCAGTGGCGAGAACTCAACATTTGGCCCCTAAAAGGTCTCTTCTTTGTTTCAGTAACTTGTCTCCTAAAACTCAACTCATGCTTCGTGTGCTCAGGAAAACGCACGGATGCTCATACACACCAGGCATTATGGTGAAGGGTGCAACATTGGCGGCTTTCGTCACACCTCCGCCGCTTCCGTTCGACGTGGTCCGCAGGCCCCCAACGCTTCGGACGTCTTCTCCCCAAGCACTCGTCTTCGCCGGCGCGTGGCGTCCGATCGCACTCGGTCCATCAGGCCAGTATCATTGCCTTCTTGGAAGACGCCATCCAACAAGCGGACCACGAACGTGGAGCCGGGGCCACCGAGAAACGTCCAACGCGAGAGAGGAAGCGAGTGAGGGAGGTCCGGTTCGCTTGATCGGATTTGTCGCATTGTCTTTAGGATGGGATGCACAGGGCTTCAAGGACCTCGTCCGCCCTTCTGGTAGCGCAGATTTTGGGCGTATTTCCCCCAACAGTGTACTGTTGGGGTTCTATCTATTGGTCCAAACGAATCGTTTTGAAACTGTTTGGGGGTCTATTCTTTCTCGCCGTTTCACAGGAATTTCGGCCTGTTTTGCACAGGGTGTGAACACGTGCGGAGGGCCCCACATATTGGCAGCCCCACATATTGCCGCGTTTCCGCTCGCGCGCTTCGTGGGTGAGGTCTTGGTCTTCTTCGATGAGATCAACGCGGCGAACTGCATGGCACTCTTTAAGACGATCATCATCGACCGGATGTACGGCAACAAATATATCCCTGAGAACGCCCCGTGATTGAGGAGGAGGATGGTTTGGCGGGTTTGGCGGGTTTGCGTGCGTTGGTTTCTTCGCGTTCTCTCTTTTTTTTCTATATTCCGTGTTCGCGTCTTTTCGTGTGGCCATAGCTGCGTGTCGTGGGTTGGAGGCCTTGGCGGCTGCTAACTGGTTCCCTTCTCCGACCTGACGCGATCCGAATTCGCACGCGACACGACCCGTGCTGAGGTTCGCATCATCTCATGCTGCAACCCCTACCGCAAGCGTCGTAACAAGGAGCGGAGGGTGGACAATTCGATGGGAACGCAGGAGGAACGCAGGAGGAACGCAGGTGTCTGGTGTTTTGCTGGGCATGAACAGATGTGAAGCATGTGAACAGGTGCTGCAAGGATCTGCAAGAGAGCTGTCACCAGCAAAGGTTTGCTGAGGGAAAGGCATTCATGAGGGACTTGATTCTATCATGAATGATCTCAAGAACACCCCGTTCTAATTTCGGAGGAGTTGGAAGACGTGGCCCTGGTCTACAATGCCGCAGCAGGCCAGGTGCAGAGACGGTTTTAGAGAGATAGAGAGGGACGTCTTAAGCCGCTACTAGTAACAAGGCCCCTTACTATAGTAACAAGAAGCTACTAGTAACAAAGGCACCTGCTGAAGAAACACGGCGACTCCAAAAGCAGTCGGATAAGAGCTGGACTAGATTAGAGTAGAGCAGTCGGATGTGGCCTCTCCTCGGCTGGCTTTGGACTTGAGAGCTGTGGAGGTCGGAAAGCACAGAAGTTTGAGCAGTCACCATATATATATAATATATAATATATAATATATATATATATACATATTGCTTGGAAACTGCATCAAAATGCACAGCTTCTAGAAAAGCTTTATTGTTACTCGCTGCGATGGCCTCCAAGCTACTAGCGATGGCCTCCGACCTAATAGCATCGAACGTTGCTTCGTTACGGAGAAGTGACACCAGGTGATGCTGCCACCGGCATCTCAGATCCCATGAAGGCCAGACCAGTGATTTCCTTGTCGGCTTCGTCAAGAGCTTCGTTCGCAGCATCGAGCATCACAGCAGCCACCGGCGTAGCTTGGTAGCTCGTGGGGGTTTTGAGGCGCATACCATCTCGCCAGCCTTTTACAATTGAACTCTACCAGCCCTCGACTTTACAGGTCACCGCCTGCCCATAGGAGGGTCGTAACTGGTGCTAGATCCCTTTCCTGTTGATGTCCGCAATCCTCCACCCCCAGAACCAAACCAACCGTGCCTGGGCTACATTTCACATCATCTTCCCTTGCCCTCCAAGTAAGCTCCACCCCCAAACCCGCCAAGCTCTACAAGCATCGAGCTCCAAACCCCGCACCTTTGCGTTCTTCCTTTTGTTTCTCCGACTCCGCTCGCTTCACCGGACGGACTCGGCACGCGCCGCGCCGCGGCACGCCGCCAGGAGTTGGTCTACCGGGTCCATCCGCTCCCCGAGAGTCTCATCGACGTGGTCTCGGACTTTGGCTCCCTCTCCGAAGCCTCCGAGGTGCGACGCGGTCCGCGTTCCGCGGTCGTCGACGCGGGCGGGGCGCGTGATCAGGTCACGACGGGACGCGCCGCGTTCCAATCATTAGGGTTACTGTGGGCGGAGCGAAAGAGGAAGAATTGGACGCAGATGGACGCAGATGGACTCCAGGGTTTGCGCTGCTTCTTCCGGGCTTGGCGCTTTTCCGCACGATTCATTTGGGAACCGCAGATTTGGACCGTTTCACTGTGAACGTCGCTCTCGCGCCGGGGAAGCGAGAGCGACCTGAACTTGATGAAAGTGGTCAGATGGTGAATCTTCACGACGCGTGTTTGATAGTCGACCAACCGACTGATGAAGCAAGTGATGCACTGATTTCGCATCTCAACATCAGGGCGCTCAATCACTGGAACCTGTGGCCCAACACTTTGTCTCCAGGAGATCTACATCAAGGCCATCTTGAAGAAGGACCAACACCGGTCCACCGCTCAACCCGCCTCTTTGTTCCGGACGCGGGACGGTCCGACCGGTCGACGGGTCGCCCGCGCAAGGAGCTCCCGCGCAAGGATGGGGCACCCGCCGAGCAGGCGCCGCAGGCGGAACCGGCGGAACGATCTCCGACGGGTCGCGTCGCCGGCGTCGCCCGGATGGTTTTGGGGGTGCGCGGACGCACGGCGCGTAGAGGCTGCGCCAGCGGAGTCTTCGGATGAATACGAGGCACGGCGTCACGGCAGGGGGGAAGGAAGGATGGGGACATGTTCAGGACACTGATCCTTCTCCCCCTAGTCAATTTCTGCGAGTGAATAGATGCTGGTGAGCAGGCCCTCCTCACTTCGAGCAGGTGCCAGGCATCCTCTTAACACTGGCACACTTGTGATGCCAACATGCATTCTGTGTCACTTTCTGGACATCATTAGACCATGCGGACCCACCGGAAAGAAGCAATTGACCATTTTCTGGACAAGAAAGAGCATGACTATTTTGAATTTGACTTTTTTGACTATTTCTACATGGTCAACTGGACTGTTCTCTGGACTTCTGTGCCGGAAACATCTATAGCCAACTGCAAAGAACCATCGACGCTCTGCCCGGTTCCGGCGCGGCTTCCGCTGCGCAGCGAGGTGTTCATCAACGCCTTCTGCGAGCTGCTCTGCCAGTCCCAGAACTATGTGCGTGAGGCGGAAAGTATGGGGACGGAGATGGAAGCAAGCACAGCTTGACTGAGGTCCGAAGTGCCGAGCTTTCTTTCGATGAATGAACCCCTACAAGTCCCCCTCTTAGGTCAGAAAACGCCCAGGTCGTTTTGCACGTGTTTTGAATGGTGTGTTTTTTTGTATTTTCCCAACTCCAGTATTTCATGAGCGAGCTGGTAGAGGCATTTCTTGAGGTCGGGGCCGAACGTGGAACCAAAAGGATCGGTCCATTGTTCGGTCCATCGCCCCGGTCTCCGCAGGTGAACGAAGGCGAGCGCAGCGTGGTCTCCATGCGCGACATCGGCCGGGCGGCGCGTGTCTTCAAGTGGTCGGGCCAGCTCAGGACAGGAGAGACCTGCGGAGCTCTTCTCTCGGGGGGGTCGAGGGTGACTCCCGGGTGAGTTCTCCGGTGACCGAAGGCAGACGAAGAAACGACCGATAAGAAGAATTCAGAGAACGGTATATAATTTGGATGTATTTGGTGTAGCTGATGAGCTGACGGTCCGAAGAAAGAGATTTGGTTTGAGACCTGTTTCATTCCTTTTTTTTGAAAGGGAAAACGCACTCTTGTTGGACCTCGCAATCCGAAACCTCACTGAACCTCGCACAAACCTCCGAGGTTCTTGACCTCCTACAGTCGACTGCACGGTGAGAGTGCTTCTGCAGCGGTGCGCGACGACAAGGACGCCACGACCACCCGCCCGCCGGAGCGAGCGCCCGACCGGCGCGGTCGGTCGGCAGGACGGCACGTTGAAGATCGACGTCTGCATCAAGCTGCGGGAGCATCTCAGGTGGAGACGTTTGGGACCTGGTCAGAGGAAGAGGAGGTCAGTGTTTGGTTAGTTTAATGGAGAACGGTCAGTGGAAGAGGATGTATGATTCAGTATGATGTATGACTTGTCCCCAAAAGTCCATCTAGTCGGTTGGGTTCGGATCATTGTTTTGGATCGATTTCAGAGAGGTGTTGGATAGCTATCGGATAGCTTAGGAGGCTGGTTTCTCTCTTCACCAAACACCGTGGTGGACTTGGCGGCCAGGAGAGCTTTGGTCCTGACCATGGGCTATTGCCGCTGAGATGCAGGAAGTGATTGAACGATTGAAAGATGTGAAGAAGGCGCTGGCCAGAGGCGCACAGAGGCGCAGAGGCGCTGTACGGCAAGACACTGGCAAGGGAGAACGGCCTCACTGGCTGGAAGACATATTGGACCGGACGCTCTCCTCCTCCTCGAGAGAGAGAGGGAGCCAAATAGAGATGGCCTCCAACCTAATTACTAGCGATGGCCTCCAACCTAATAGAGATGGCATGGGTGTTTGAAGAATCAGGGAACAATGTTGACTGCGAGGCTATCACTCCAGACTGAACCGCAACCAGCGCTGGGGCTACCGCAAGAGGTCAGGGACCAAGATGGTGTTGAGACCGTGCACCCTTGGTGGGACACGTCACCAGCATTCTTGCTGGATTCCGAAGAGAAACTGAAGAGCATCAACTTTGGGTCCCAAATGCCAGGATCACTGGCCAGTTGGTGCTGACTTCTTCAGAGCAGAGAACTTTTTCTGGTGCAATTTCTGGTGGTGTTTCTCGTGGTGACTGTTAGTGACAATGGGATAGACCGTTATATCTTTCAAAGAATAAGAGCTTGTCATTCTTTATTGAAGGCATTGTCGCGTTGTTCCGAGGCTGTGTGAGACCTGGGAACGTTTGAGGCGGGTGTTGGGAGATCGGCCAAGAGTGAATGGGAGATTGGGCGCGCGCGGCGCGACCTCATCCTAAGGTTTCGTAGTTGTTCCAACCAAATTCAAGTTCAAGGAATTTCAAATTATCAAGTTGGATCCCGATTGGAATTTCCCCGTTGGATACCTATAAAAATGGCCCAACCCCTCCTTGAAATCCGTACATTGGGATCAAGTTGGAGAAAAGAGAGTACAGCAGAGACATCAGCGACCTCAGCGAATGGCCACCAACAGGACAGAAGTGACCCATCCACCGATGCCCCGAGTGACTCGGCCTCGGCCTCGGCCTCGGCGCCTCCATCCACCGATCACCTGGCGGGACTCGGGGGACTGCATCGCCAGGAGCAAGGACGATGATGCGATGGTGTGGCTGCAATTGGCGGATGCCAATGAGCTCAACAAGATGCTCATCGACACCTCCTACGAATTCGTGTGGCCTGGCCGCGGCGTTTTGAAGCGGTGGATCCGGCGGCGCGCGGCGGATCCAGCGCAGCGCGGCGGCGGTGTTGGTTGTTTTGGTTCGGTTGGGCACCTGACGATTGATAGGATTTTCACCGCGGAAGGCCACCAACACCGCGGTGCTTCAAGCCGGAGTGCGGAAACGAGCTGCTCACTCGATGCTCACCCCGGCGCCCCAAAAAACGGGTTGTCGTGATTTCAAAGGGTTTCCTCCGATGCCACCACATCGTGGATGAGGTCGCAGATGGACCTGGGCGAAGGCATTGCCTTGAATGAAGCTTTGCGCGAGAACCTCTTCATGTTACTGGTGAGTGCTCGGGGCCTTAGTTGGGGATTTTGACATCACAACAATCACAGAACTGGTTTGAGGCTAGGTTGGAGGCTGTTGCTAGTAGGTTGGAGGCCATCGTTATTAGGGAGGAGCATTGCTAGTAGGTTGGAGGCCATTGCCATTAGCTTCCTTTCGTTATTAGGTTAAGTTTTAGGCTTGGGGTTGGCTGAGAAAGTTTCATGATGTACTGACGGCTCTTGGACTTCTCAATTGACTTGATGAAGAGAGGAGTGGGGGTGAACGCTGCGTTTTCTTGGTCTTTCTTCGACGCAGGAGGAGTTGAGTTTCAGGCTGGCCAGGACTGGAGCGCGAGTTGCGCGAGTTGCTGAGTGTGTCTGCCCAGGTCATGAACCAGATCCCCATCTTGCTGATTGGAAAGCCCGGATGCTCCAAAAGTCTGGCGATGGGCGTCTTGCAGAACAATCTCAACGGAGAGGCCGGCTGAAAACGGCTTCGGCATCGTGGTTTCCGTTGGTTGGTGTGCTGTAAACAGCCAAACCAAGCAGCCTCACAGTTGCTACAGCGTTCCACAGTTGCTACAGCGTTCCACCCACTTGTGAAGTGCCTGGAGGCAGCCTTAGGATACCTAAGGGATGATTTGGGTGGTGATGCATGCACGGATGATGTCTCTTGTCACAGTACTTGCTGCTTCGACTGAACCAACACAGGATGTGCAACATGACCCAAGCATTCCATGGAGCTGACACAACTCTTCCCAGCAGTCCCCAACTCCCAAGTCCAGATGTTGCCGAACCAACATCCAAGACGAGATTCGAAGCAAACACCTCGAATCGGTCCCCCCTGGAAGGCGCCTGCCCCTCCGGCACTCCGGCGTCTCCGTGTCCCTGCAGCTCGGTCAGGTGTCCAGCCGAGACTTCTTCAAATCGATGCCCGCCGTGGACGTCTTCGCCTACCAGTGCTCCAGGGAAGGGAGGGATATCCCGGGCCTCGGGTGGGCATCGGGTGGGGCATCGGGTGGTTGGCGGGTCACCCGGGAGACCGGATGGGAGACCGAGCTCATGGTGAACAAAACCTGCTCACCAGACCGAAAACCCAAAGCGGATCCTTTTTTCGGATCCCCAAGTACGAGTAGACGGTGAGTGCTATCGACTCTCGCCATCGCAGTGCGGCAAAGCGTTGGAATTACAGGTCAATGAGCTCATGAAATACTGGAGTTGGTCATACAAAAACACGATTCAAGCAAGCCAACGACCTGCTGACAAACTGGCTCACACTGGACGAATCAACGCGCGTTTACGCCAGCAAAACACCTGACCCAAGACGACGGTGTTTTCTGACCCACGACGGCCGAACGAAGAACGACCGAAGAACATCGAAGAACGGCTTTTTCCGTTCGACGTGGTTGGTACGACCGGTCCGGTTTTGGTTGGGGACGGTTCGACCGGGGATGGGGTCACTGACCTCAGTTCGGTTGGATGAATTTGTACCAGTGACCTCCTCCCACTTCTTGAAACCTCTTCAGAATTCAGTGATCCTGAAATCAAGACCTATTAGGTGACCTATTGGTCAGTGCCACTGGGATCTCAAGTTCGTAGATGGCCTCGTCTGGCCTCGAGTCCCCAAACGGAAGGAACGGTTTACCCTCTCCTCATGTCAACCACCAGCCACGAGCACCAGCTCCAGCCAAGCCAGGTGCTCGCCGCTGTCGACGCCGGATGCCATTTTGAATGCCTTCCACTCGGCTCGGCAGTCCAATCTCGGCCACAAGAGCACCATCGTCTGCGTGTTTCTGGGAGCGGCAGTCCCGCGCGCGTGGGGGAGTTCTCCGTGCCTGTGCAAGGTGGACGCCTGCTATCCGGTGATTTGAGTGTTTAGGGCCTAGTTCAGGGTTGATGAGCTCTAGTTGCACAGAAGTGCAGTCCAAAGACCAAAGCCCACAGGACATGATCACGAAAGCTAGCATGCTAGCTGAGTTCTTCTTTGCTTTAGCAATGTTGTGGTGGGAGGGGCTGCGTGCCTTAAAGATTGATATATCAAGCTAACCCCCCCCCCCCGCGGTTCAACTCCCAGCTGCGCCGTGTAGGGGGTTGGTTGAACGTGTGAACGTGGTTGGTTGGGTGTAACGGTGGCTTGGTGTAAAGGGTGCTGCTGCTGCTGCTGCCGCTCTGCTGCTTGCTGCTGCTGTTTGCTGCTGCCGCTGGTTGCCGCTTTTGTAGCTGCTGCTTTGCTACTTGTTGCGGCTTGGTGCTGCTGCTGCTGCTGTTGCTGACGACGCCGCTGCTACTGCTGCTTGCTGCTTGCTGCTGCTGCTTGCTGCTTGCTGCCGGTGGTGCTTGCTGCCGGTGGTGCTGCTGCTGCTGCGGCTTGATGCTGCGCTGCTGCTGCGTGGTGCTGCTGGCTGGCTGCTGGTTGGTGGTTGCTGCTGGCTGCTGGCTACAGGCGGCTGCTGCTGCTGCTGCTGGCTGCTGCTGGCTGCATAGGACTTGTACTTCACCGTTACAAGTTGTTTACCCCTATTTCTAACCTAATGCATGCATAAGCGGGTGGTAAATTTACCCCCCAGGCTTGCTATAACCATACACCGGCTATTTCCTCAAGACACTCTATTCTTGATACCTTTTACCAGTGCTTATCCTACACTACGGACGCCCTAGTGTATGCACAGTCCTTGTGATGCTTACCCCTCGTTCCGGCTCAAGGCATACATAAGCGGGGGGTAAATTTACCCCCCAGATTTGCCATAACCATAAGCCGGCTATTTCCTCAAGACACTCTACTCCTTCTACCTTTTACCCGTGCTTATCCTACACTACGGACGCCCTAGTGTATGCACAGTCCTTGTGATGCCAGAAATGCTTACCCCTCTTTCCAGCGCAAGGCACACATAAGCGGGGGTAAACTTACCCCCCAGATTTGCAATAACCATACACCGGCTATTTCCTCAAGACACTCTATTCCATATACCTTTTACCCGTGCTTCTCCTACACTACGGACGCCCTAGTGTATGTACAGTCCGTATGATGTCAGAAATGCTTACCCCTCTTTCCGACTCAAGGCATACAAAAGCGGAGGGTAAATTTACCCCCCAGATTTGCCGATCACGCATCTTCGTGCCTGCCAACGAGTGCACCCGGGTTGTTCCAATGTACCCTTCCCAGTCAGCGATGTCACATTTACATTCTTTAGCGCAAAGTATGTACATAGCAACCTTCCTCCCAAAACATGTCATCCCTACATGCTTTGCCGACTATGTAACTAGTACATCCGGTGCGATTCGGCTAGCTTTCGACCTCTCCCCCTGGCCTCAAGTTTCTTCCGCACTTCGTTCGTGACAATGGAACTCTGCCACAGGAACAGATCTGAGTTTAGAGCTGCAAACGATCTGAGTTTTGTGCGCTGAACGACATGAGCTGGGGTGGTTCTCCCACCATGGACACCATGGACCCACCATGGACACGCAGCGAGTTGGGTCACCAAAGGGCGGAATGAGCAACGTGGTAGTGAGGCAGAGGTGGTGGCAGAGGTATTCCCAAGGCAAACAACATCGAACAACCCTTTAGGCCCATCTAAAGCCCATCTAACCCCGGGGGTGTTACACCTGGCGGACCAAGCTTCAGGCTGTTGGATGAGGTGGGCTTGGCGGAGGAATCGCCTCATTTACCTTTGAAGGTACTTCACAAAGAGCTTGAGGACGGGGGCTGGTGTCTAACCGTTTTTTCTTGTGTAAAGATCGCGGGATCTTGCAACGTCCACATCAAATGGCGGCCAGTTTCTTTCTGCAGAGACACTCCGATGTGGCTTTGAAAGACACTGAAACCAATTCAACTGGTTTCTGCACCTGTTTTCAGTCAGGACCTTCGTGGTATTGCGTGCGTGGGCATCTCCAACTGGGCGTTGGATGCGGCTGCTCAGCTGAGACTGGTGAACGGAATGGGGGAGCGAGTTGGGTCAAGCAAGACGGGACAAAAACTGGACAGATGAATTTTAGGACGCTCGAAGAAGCTGGATGATTCCAACAGCACTTAGTTGTTTGGCTGTGAGGAAGTCTTGGCCTCCCTCATCAAACCAGCTAGGTTGACATCCGTTGTAAGTTATAGTGCAATTTGATGGTTTTTGTTTTCATTTGGTGGTCAACCAGGTTCCCTGATTTTGACCCACAGCCATTTGTTCGCATGGTTCCACATCTCGTAGAGGCGGTTGTTCCACGGCTGTAGAGGCTCCAGATCTGACCAAAATTCTTCCTACTAGGAATAAGAAGCTACTGGGTTGTAGGCCATCGCTGTTAGGTTGTTGCTAGATGTTGCTAGCAGGTTGGAGGCCATTCCTACTATTTTTGTCTTTCTTCTATTTTACATGTTCTTCCGGTTTGGGACCCTTCCGGCCACCGGCCACCGGCGTCCGACCCCCGAGGCGAAGATGAGCCGCTGCGTGACGCTGTACCGGCCGCCGCCCACGGTGGAGGACTTGAGTGTCACTGCGGAGGGTATGGTGCAATCGGCCCGGGGCCCCAGAGACCCGGAGGGACCCGGCGAGGTTCGGCGTTGGAGTTGGCATGAAAACCACCGTTTTGGTGGTCTTTTGGGGTGGCCAAGAGGAAAGATGTTGACGAAGACCCGTGTGTTTTTGGATCCAAGAAAGTACTTTCATTACTTTTCCAAGACAAGAGATTGATCTAAAAGGGAAATACTACAGGCATGATTGTCCAGTGAGTTTATGGTCAGTGTTGATCAATGTCGGATAATAATGGGATTGGTCTGGTAGGGCTTTAGGACCAGCGAAGATTCGCTCTCCTTCTTTGCACGCACGGACGCACGACAACCTCCCTGCTGCCTTGGATCCGATCCAAGGCCAATCTCAAAGCTTATTTGCGAGCCCTTTCCGAAGCCTTTGCGGAGATCTACAAGCGATGCTTGTGCTGCAAGAACAGACGACAAACGAACGGATCGGCTGGTCAAATCGTTTTCTTTAGACACATGACATGCGTCACCACAACGTGTCTGGATTTCGATGTGGAACCGAGCTCCAAACAGGACAGAAGCGTGCTGACTTCTGGGGTATGCGTGAGTTCTACAGCCACGCACTCAGCGACACTGCCAGCTCGGGACGTGACGACTGCGCCAGGGTGACGACACAGGGCCAGCGAGGATCAGGACGAACGCGTTTGGCACATTCCACCCCCAAGAGAATCTCCAAACCCAAGTCCTTCCGCATTCTTGTACGACAAGATGAACCACCTCCCCCCCCAATCCCAGCTTTTTGACATGGCTATTTTCATCAACACCCCAAACCCTTCTCCACGTGAACCATGTGCCGTTGAAACGCCGACCCTCCTCGCCTTCGCCTTCGCCCTCTCCTCCCGGTGCCCCGTCGGCGGAGGCACGGTGCGGGTGATCAACGCGGAGCTCAAGATCCGCGCGGCCGAAGGCCTCGAAGCGGTGCTGGAGCCGAAGGCGACGGGAGGAGCCGGATGGACGGCACCTTCAGGTCGGTGACGACAGTGCGAGGGGGCAATGAATTGGAGTGGGAGAAAGGCATCCAAAAAGGCATGAATTCTGAACATGGGATAGTTGAAGATCATGATTTTTATCCACTCTAAAGGTTAACAGTTACAAAAAATCAAATGAATTCAAATGAAGGTACGGTTTGGACATTTCGATTCTTCCAAGCCTTGTAGGTGCTGGTCGAAATGACTGGCGCCAGGAGGGGAACCCCCCCTCCAAAGCAGCCTGAAGATGCTGCCGGTCCATCTGCAGGTTTTGATGAAGACGGTCCAACGAAATTTCGGCGGTCAACCAGAAGATGAGCTGGAGGCGTGGGCTATCGACGTGCACCTGTGACTGTGTGGGCTATCGCACCAGAAGTGCACCTGAGCTAGCTGACTCCGAATCAGCTATTGAATCAATGAAGTGGAGACGGAAGTCTATCAACTATTGCTGATGGAGACTTCTGCAAACTAGAACCGAGATCCAGCTTTCTGAGCGCTTTTTCCGGTCATGTCTAAGAGGCCGGCCCATCCAACCAACCGCCCACCAGCCCAACGAACAGACGTACTTCCACCCCGAAGACTTCGACGCCGCCGAGGCCTGCATCGAAGAGTTCTTCGAACGCACCGGAATGGCCCGGGCGTCCCAGTGTCACTCCGCCAGCCTTCTCCGGGCCGGGAGGGTTTTTCGGGAGAAATGACGGGTGGTGGTGGGGTGCAGGAGGTCGTGAGCCGAAGTCGGTACAGAACTCGGGTTTTGGAGATGTTGAACATGCAAGCCCTGAATTCATGTGCTATATTCATGCTATATGTATAGATGAGACTGTCTGGATTTCTCCAACAGACAGCATCACTTTCACTCGACTAAGCCCTTTCTCCACCTGCGAATCCTTAGTTGGGTGGGTCTCGTCTCCGGTGTTCCTCGCACCGCCCGGAGGACTTCATGGACGTCACACGTCTCACCACTCCTGAGCTGATCCAGCAGAACCTAGGGGAGCCGGATGCCAGGCGGGATGGGGAGACACGCTCGCTGGGACGCACGGAGTTCGGTTCTTTGGTAGTTCTGAAGACCCAAAGACCCACGGTTTGTTTTGGGGATTGGTGGGCACTTCGATTTGCAGGCTTGAAGGAAGGGTGTGCGTCGCCAAAAGAGAGGAAGACGTTTGGTGTTACATAGGTGTGCAGAGATGTTCAGAAGCTAAACTGGTGTTTGTAGGAAAAACAGGAAAACACATCGGAAGGCTTTTTTACAGATGGGGCAGAACTTCCACAGCTGCCAACACTCACTTGGAACACCCGATACTCTGAAACTCTGTCATGTTGCATTGAATTGAAGATCTTGCTGCAAAAAACATTCGGGGATCAGGTTTGCACGAAGAGTATGAAGACTGCAACAGAAGCCTTGCGAGGAGTTTTTATCAGAACAGATCCTTTTTCTTGCACCCCAATTGTCAAGTGTCAGCTTTCCTGACGCAGCATTGACCCGAACATCTGGAACGTCTTTGGAACGCATCTTTATGCACGTATTATATTTCTCTACTACACAGAGAGATACAAAACAATGTAACATACTTGAGATACATGAGTGACATTAGATGCAAATGACTTCTAGGAAGACTAGTTTTCGTGTGGAACCAGAGGAGTTGCTTTCAGATTTAGCAAGGACATAAACTTGAAACAGCATGGTATGAAGCTTTGAAGAACATCCGAAAAGCCACCTTTTTTTTTTGAGCCGCGAGCTTCTTCGAGCTGCGAGCTGGCCACGCTCGACCTCGCCGCGCGTTTTCACTCGCCGTCACTCGCCCATCTGTCACGCCCACTCGACCGGTGGTTCCGACTGTTGAGTCTGACCCCAGACTCGGTCCGAGGCACCTCATGTTGTTGACCAAGAACAACGCGGCCCTGCGGCTGCTCTTCGAGGGTGGTTTGTTGGACCACAGCCGTGCAGAGGCGCGAAGACGGACGGACTCGCCGGTCGGCGCTGGACGTCCGAGTTGGAAGCCGTTTGGGGCTTCTTGTGAGCGTTTTCCACCACTGTTTTCTTGTTAACGTTCTTCCTGAGACCAGTGGTTTTTGACCAGAGGGGAGGGAAGACAAGACATGGTTTCTCGGAGCTCACGTGGCAGGTCATGTTTGGAAGCACCTTCCCCAATGACCTCAGCGACATGTTCGTGGCCATGAACCTCCAGCGTGGCTCAGACTGATCAAACAGACTCCGACCGAGCGAGTTGGGACAAGTCGGTCGAAAAACATCATGTGTTTCAACCAATCGAAAAACAGTGCAACAGCGAACGAGGTATCAAGAGCTTCATGCAACAGCCAATCTCCCTGGTGATGGTGCACTGCGATTCTCTCTACGAGACACTCTGCTTCGCAGTTAGGGGTGGAGAGGGAGTGCAGGTGGCGGACATGGGGAGGACAGTTTGGACTTGATTGTACGCACCGTTGTACGCACCGTTTGAAGATCGGAAAGGGTTCATGGTTTTTTTTTCAGGCGAAGGAGTGAGGCGACGCCTATCATTTTGCAGTGTTCAGACATGTGTGAACTGTCAATCCAATTTCCTTTTTAATGAGACAGTGTTGATTTCAACACCTTTGTCGTCGTCTCTCAGCGGGTCCTCACGTACGCCTCATAGCGGGTCCTGAGAGCCTCACGTTGTACTCCTGAGATCTTTGTACGACCTGCTGAACCAGCACTACATGGAGTATGCGGGCCAGCGATATGTCAGACACCCAGACCGAAGAACAGCCAGCTTTGGACTTGAGAAAGAGCACGGGTCAGCATGGCTAGAGGATGCTAGAGGTGTTTTCTTCATCTCACCGAGTCGAAGGAAGATGTGAAAATCAGTGCGACATGAACGTCGGCTGGACTGGATTTGTGACGGCTTTTCTGCTGGTACCTTTTTTCACCTCGTGAAGAGACTCATCTCATCTCGAGATGGCGCGCCATCTCTCAGGTGCGTATTGCGCATGGTTCCAAAGCCAAACAGTGCCCCATCCACAAGCTCTTCCGCGTGATCGTGGTCACTGAACTGAGTACCTTGGCAGATCTGCTGGAGGCAGAGGAGCGACCAGCGTGTATTTCACCAGATCCCCTGGCCCTGGCTGGGTACACTGGTCGATGTCCGATGTTCCCTCTTTTTTGGGGTCGTTGCCTGAGAGCTCTCACGATTTTAAGGTCTCATGACCTCTCTCCCATTCCGGCTTTTTATTGCGAGATCATGAGATCCATTGAATCTGACGCGAAGCGTAGATCAATTGAGCTTCCAGGGATTGGACCATATATGTTGGCTCTGTCCGAACTACACGGTTTTTACCGTCCAACCGAGACGCGAGACGATTTGATGGACGCGAGACGCGAGACGCGGCGTCGATGCTGTTCATCACGAGTTTGTTCGATCGACTTGTTCGGGGCTTCCTGGCAAGTACAGAAGACGCCCAAGAGAATACGAAGAAACTGTGACATCCGACTATATAGGACAAAAGACTAAAGAAGTCCAACATTATTTTTTTTTTGTGATTATTTTCACGAAGCAACTTCGAAGAACATGCAAAATCTGCTGAACGCAGGGAACACCAAAGCTCTTTCGTCTTGGCATTGTGTTCATATTCAGGGAAAACGTTTAACAGTTTGTTAGTTCTTTTTCCTTTTTCCTTCAGTCGCATCATATCTCTTCCCAATGTTTCAGTCACATGACACATGTCCGAAATAAGGCGATGCCTATTTCCGCCTGGCGCCCCCCCTGTTGAACCGCTTCGAGAAGCAAATCTTCCTGCGCAAGGAGCCCTCGACGGATTGCCCCCGGAGTCCGAAGAAAGAATTCAAACCAACGCACCTGTCAGCTGCGGGAAAGCGTGGAGGGTGTGGGGAGAGGGATTTTTGGGAGATGTGGAGGACTTGATGACGAAATCGGACGAAGCGCTGCTGGCCAGAGTGGGGAAGTTCTGGCAGACCCTCAACGAGCTGCTTGGAAGTCGGAAGTCGCGTTCATGTCACGAGCTGCTCATGTTTTCCATCCAAAAGGGTTTGCCCTGGGGACCAGTGGAGGGGTCTGTTTTAGAAAGTGACTGGCTGTTTTCGAGACAGGCATCCAATCGAGTTCTTGATGAAGTACCTTGAATCACTCATCTCAGCAGTCTTCCGCACCTTCCACATTTGCCACACACGTGGCAAATGAGTGGGGCGTGGGAGCTTCATCAACCCAAACAACGAGATGGGCACATCCCAAACAGGATCTCATCCTTTTTTAGCAATGACTGAGAACCAAATGAATAGTGCGTGAGCTATCCTGCGTCCAGTAGGTAGTATAGCGGCTAGTAGTGGCTAGTCCTTACTCAATTACTGTAAGTAGGCGTCTACTTCATTAAGGGCCGGGCTCAACAAAAAATCAAAGAAACTAGACCACATGCACAGGGTGGCCCGAAAGCACAGCAGGAGAACCCCACCCTTGGTGCTTTCGGACAAAAGGAAGAACATCTTTTTGCTGCGACAGCGGCTAAACGGACCTCTGTGGACATCAAAACTCAGTTGGCCAACGGACCGTGACCGTGGGGTGTGTGAACAACTCCCTAGGCTCATGAATGCCGGCAAGAGCGTGAAGGCGGGTGGGTGGCCATCGGCGGGAGGCTGGCAATGGGTACGAAGGGTGGGCCATCGGTTTTTTGGGGGGGTCGAAGGTGAGCAGAAGACGTGACTGGAATCGTTTTCGATCTGATCTTCGCCAGTGGAAGCTCCCCCCCTGCCAGAAACGGCCACGTGGCTTCCTCCTCTCCACCGCACCCACACCGGTCCCTACCGCTGGCGAGGACGACGACGCCCTGGAGGAGGCGACGCAGCGGCCCGGCACGATGCTCAACACCGCGTCGCACCGGCCCATCGCAGGCGCGGCCCGAGCCCATCGCATGTGAGTGTTGACCGAGGAGGGTCCATGACTCACGTGAGCCATGGGTGATCGCCTTTTTTCTCGAATGCGCAGCGAAGGGTTCTCGTTTAACTTTGGGGGGTCTGGGGGTAGAGCCTTGTTCGCCACGCGTTGTCTCAGCGTTCGCAACCGTCCGCAACCGACCGCAACCGTCCGCGGTAGGGCGCTAAGGCGCTGCCATTGGGGGAAGCTTTTGGAGGGGGTTTCGGATGGAAACGTGACGTGTCAGATTCGTGTGAAATAGCGTGGAAACGTGTGGAAATGTAAGATGTTGAAGTGTGGGGGATGATTTCACTGCGCACAAGATCCGCAGTTTTCTGCGCAGCTCCATTGGGATTAGCGCTTGGAGAGTGGTGTTTTTGGAGTGTTGGATGTGGCCGTGCCAGGGTGTTGCATCGAAGCTCTGTTTTCGTGACAAGTCTCAGCTGAAATGGCGATTTTGGTGGATGGGAGTGTGCTCAGAACGGGTCGAAGCCATTCCAAACGTGTGGTGTGGTGCAAATTTTGTTGAAGCTCACATGATATGATATTGTCACTTTTCGTGGCAGGCGCAGTGCTTTGTGCGGGTCTTGAGGTGTGGAAGTGCGATTTTCGTGGCAGGCGCAGGGAATCGTGAAGTTGCGAGGCGTGACAGAGGTGACATTTCGTGGCAGGCGCAGTACTTTGTGCGCGTTAGACGCGGAAAGTTTCGTGGCAGGTCGTGAGGTTGTGATTTGTGGTAGAGGTGAGTGTCGCTGTGACATTGGGATTGGCGTGCGAGCGGGTGTTGTTTGGAGGGGCTGGAATCGCGAAACTGCTTGGCAGGGCTGCGTGATGTGTGTGCTCTGATGGGTGTTTCCGCTTGACTTTTGGAGGAAATCTCAACGCTCGTTTTGCAGACTTTGACATGTGAGTTTTTGAGGAAGTCTTGTACGAAACGCTTGTTTTGGAGACTTGACGTGTGACTTTTGGAGGAAGTCTCGTGCGAAACGCTTGTTTTGGAGACTTGACGCGTGACTTTTGGAGGAAGTCTCGTACGAAACGCTCGTCTTGCAGACTCGAAGCGTTGGAGGACGTCTCGTACGAAGCGCTTGTCGTGTATGGGCAGGCCGTGTGGCGAAATTACGTTCATGATGTCGCTGTGCCGTTGGGATTTGCGCGGCCTTGGTGGGAAGTGTGTTTGCGTGGCGCCGTGCCACTTGGAAGCGCGAAACATGCTGGTGTAAACGCGGCGTGTCGCCGGTGAGCGGGATGCTTGGTGGTATCATGTGATCTGTTTGCTTCTAGTGTGTCGACAGACCGTGTGGCGAAGCTACGCTCCTGATGTCGCCGTGCCATTGGGATTTGCGCGGCCGGGAAGTGCGTTTGCGTGGCGCCGTGCCACTGGGGAGCGCGAAACACGCTGGCGTAAGAGTGTCCCAGGAGTGTCCCGCAAGAGTGTCCTAAAAGAGTGTCCCAAGAGTGTCCTA